AGAAGAGACAGAAGAGACAGAGGGGACAGAGGGGTCAGAAGAGACAGAGGGGACAAAGGGGACAGAGGGGACAGAGGGGTCAGAAGAGACAGAGGGACAGAGGGGTCAGAAGAGACAGAAGAGACAGAGGGGACAGAGGGGTCAGAAGAGACAGACAAAGGGACAGACAGAGGGGTCAGAAGACAGAGACAGACAGAGGGGACAGAGGGGTCAGAAGAGACAGAGGGGTCAGAAGAGACAGAAGAGACAGAGGGGACAGAGGGGTCAGAAGAGACAGAGGGGACAAAGGGGACAAAGGGGACAGAGGAGCACCAGGCCCAGAGCAGGGCATGGGTTTGTTCTGACCTTCCCCTCTCAGAGCCTCAGGCTGATGACGAGGTGGAGCAGTCTGGCTCCAGTGAGATCATGTTTGCAGCAGCAGCTCCAGTCCAGACACGTGTGTGCTGGAATCTACCACACACTCAGCACACTCTTACTACAACCATAGTCATTAAAGAGGGAGATTATGCAAAATAGATTTGGAATTTTGTACCATGATGTTTTTCGCTCATCAGACACATGTCTGTAGAGGTTATAGAGTCATCCATGTTTGTTTGAGAACCATAATCTAGTGATCTCTCCTGGGCACTGGTCCATATGGTTCAGTTTAAGACAAAAACATAATACAAAACTGCACACAATAACTTGACAAACCTGACGTGATGTGCAGTAGTTTCATTAGTGGGATGCACACTGATGCTGCTGTGATAGTGCTCTGAAGGGGGGAGTGACTTAATGTGAAGAGGAAAGGGAGGGTCTCAGAGTGTTAAATGGAGAGTAAAACACATATGCAAAATTTACGTTTTATTATAATTATTTTTTAACTTTTTAATTTTTTTATTTTTTTTTTAAAGAAGAACTCCTTTCATTTTATTATTACTTAATTTAGAAGATTAAGAGTGAGAACATCATTTCAATTTTTCATATGTTCATATGGAAATTTGACAATACACTTTTTTTAATTAGATTTTATTTATTTATTTATTTATTTTTTATTTATTTTCACCATGTTAGAATATGGAGATCATCAGTGGCTGTTTTCTCTGGTCCTGAAAGTAAATTTTCCATTAATATTTCCCATAGACTTTTCCAAATATTCAAATTTATTAAGAGTCCATAGGCGTCACAGAGGCTTAGTAGCTACATGCTAACTACTATCCATAAAACAACTGTTTTAAATCCAAAAAGCACATCTGAAACACAAGATTCTGCTAAATGTTTTAATAACTTAACACTTTATATAGTTTCAGAAACAGATTGTAAATAAAAGTATAGGTTTGGTGGTCATTAGTTACAACAGAGGAGATTTATCCCTGAGCAAGCTTTTCAACTTTTATTATTATTATTATTATTATTATTAATTTATTTTTATTTTTATTTTTATTTTTTTAGGGAAGTCTTTGTTGGGCTCCTTGTTCCCTCATTGAGTTCATAGTTGGAGTTGTATTTTGCTTTGTTCACACTGGTTTCAGTAATCCTCTGTAGAAAGTTCTTTGTCTCTGAGCCTCCCCAAACACTTTGTGTGAAACTTCCTGGGATTGTGATGTCATAGATTGAAGCCTGTCTGGTCATGTTCCTCATTTAACTGCTGCCAGTAGAACGTGAGCAGCACCAGATCAGAGCAGACTAAGCACTGAGGCTCATATTTAATGAGGCATTATTTTAAGTTCTAAATCACAAAATGCCAAAGCAAAAGCACTCGAGGCCAGTGTTTAAAAGACAATAACTACAGATGTAATGCATCATCTTTGTACTTTAAAGTCACCATAGACAAAGGCTGCTGCACATCAGAGTAGGCAGGGTTGAGTGTGGGAGAGACTGTTCAAGTCAGTAGGAAGCAGAGTCCAACACCTGCTGCTATAAACCCTAATATTTCTCACCATATTTAAGGGGGAATGGGATCATTTACACACTACACTGTAAAGAAAAGAAACATCACATAATACAATCCTCAGAGTAGATTCATTTCATCCTCAACACCTAAAGCAGAACATCCCTTATGGGCAGTTTCAACATCTACATCACATTTGTAATCGGGAAGAGGACTTTGTAGAACAGGCAGAGGCTGTGTCCAACTGGTTCATAGATGGAGCCTATCAGCCTACAGTGGTCAGAAAAGCCTGTGACAGGGCTCCACCTCCTGATGGATTGGGGCACTTTACTCACTAAACACAATACACAAGATTTAAAGAGCCGTCTCGCCCTGTGTCTGTCACCACTTACAGCACTGGTGCTGAATCGAAAATATTGTCAAGGACAATTGATCTGTACTTCTAAGTGACCCTGTATTAAGCAAAGTTTTTTCCTGAACCTCCTTTATTTACTCTTAGACATACTCCAAATCTCAGAGATAAGTTAATGAACTCTTATCTTCCTCCAGAAAACAAAAGCACATGACTACAAAAACCTACACATTTAAGTGTCTGAACTGTCCTCATTGTCCAAATGTCCTTCAAACAAAAATATTCATGGATGTACACAACAGTAGATCATTCACACAAAATGATTTCATTAGTTGTAACAGTACTCATGTTATATATCATCTGTCTTGTCCTTGTCCAGAAGGTTTCTTCTATATTGGCCGCACTAAAAGGCGTAGGAAAGATCACTTAGCCGAACACAAATATGAGATTAGGATTAAGAACCAGGACGGCCCAATGGCTCACCATTTTGAAAATCATAATAGCAATGACACTCTGCTTCTCATTGAAGTTACTGAACATGTGAAACCACTGACATGAGGTGGAGACAGACTTGAGAAATTAAATCAAAGAGAAACTTTCTGGATTCATAAATGAAGAGCATGTGAACACCGGGGTCTGAACGAGGACTTTGATCTGTCTTGTTTTTTATAAATACTATGTGTACGACCACTGTAGGCTGATAGGCTCTTTATATGTTTTTGCTTGATATATTTTTTCATTATATTATTATTATTAAAAACAATGGGGTGTGCACGCCCATGCACATGTGTATATATGTATATGTGTATATATGTATATGTGTATTGTGTGTATATATATTTTTTCTTTGCCTGTGTCATGTCTTGTGCTGTTGGTCTTACACCTGCTTTGTCTGTCTCTAATCAGCTCCAGTCCTTTGGTTGGTGGGTTTTAGTTAAAGGCCACGCCCTGACGCCCATGTTCTGTTTTTTAATCGAAGCCCTGATGAAGACCAGTTGGGTTGAAACATGTTTGCTTTGGCCATCTAAATAAAGGCCTTTTAACTATATATTTTTCCTCGTGCAATGTTTACTTCTTTTGAGTGCCTGGATTTTGTTGTGTTTAAAAACCTGCTGTAATTGCTTTGCCTAGAATGTTCCACCGTATTAAACTGGTCTGTCTCCAAGACCAAATGTGACCCTGCTCACTTAAAGACTGCATTTTTCAAAACATCTTTGAGCAATAAAAGCACCTGTAATTCAGTAAATGCTAGATGGATAAGTTGCTGTATTGTGGAACATTCCAGGCAAAGGAGCAACATCTCCATGACGACAAGCAGGTCCCCCCAACCCACCAGTAAAGTTGTGTAACGCCCCTTTAATTTTAATACCATAGTCTAAGATGGTCCTTGTGTACTTTTTATTTTCTGTATTTTAAAGACTTGAATTTTTTTTGTAATGAAAGGTGCCATCATTTTTATTTTATCTTAAATATTTTTGTTGTTGTCTGGTACGTAGAATATAATGGAGTGGACTAAGAGTGTCACTGATAGATCATGTCGAGTGGGTTAATACAAGTATTTTAAGACCAAAAGGAGGAGCCTGACAGCAGCAGTCACAGAGAGAGAGGCCATGTATTTACAATACAAAGTAACTCGAGACAGGGTCGATGGAGCCAGAAGCGAGCCATGCTCACTTCCTGTTTGGAGCAGTGGTAGCGGTTAGCTGTGTGCATTTGTATATATTTGTATATATTTGTATATACTCTGCTGGCTGCAGTGTGCAGTACAGTACAGGCTTAGTGTTGGTGTTTGTTTGATGTGATTTTGTGGAGTTTCCAGCTGGTGTCGGGGGGCGCAGGTTTGATATGAGATTCCAAATGAAGCGTGTTTTATGATCAGCCTCCCGGTGTTGACAGGAGAGTGTCCTTGGCCTTGTTGCCATGGTAACAGCCGGGTGATGGGGGCGGGACAGCTCTCACTCAGCTGCAGGGGAAGCTCTCACACAAGGACGGGGATTTTGGCTTCTCACTCTTACTGTTCTGTTGGAGATGTGCTCTGCTCGGGTTTTCATAAGCACTCACCAGGCTGACTGTGGTAGAGTTTTAAGCCTGATGCCCTACCTGTTGCAACCACCCACCTTACCGTGACTGTGATGCATATGTAGTAGGGATGAAGTGCTGGGTTTGCTCTTTGCCACAGAGATATCAGGTCTCGACTTTGATTTCTAGACCAGCTATATTCTTTCATCTTTTGTGCGTTTGCATGTTCTCCTGGTGTCTGGTATGTGCTCTGATTTCTCTATGTGGGAGGAGGCCACTGACTGATCATTTCTGTTGTTTGGACCCACCCGCCTGTCACATGCTGTGGACTGTAGACAGTGGTGGACAGGAGCAGACAGGAGCAGACAGGGGCAGACAGGGGCAGACAGGAGCAGCTCAGTTTTGCTCAGGCTGCAGGACATACTGTGTATGCCCGAGTATGACGTTTAGTGCTCCCTTCCCCCAGTTTCTCCCTCTCCCCCTTTCTTTGCACACACCTCTCTCCTCCTCTCTCCCTCTCCTCTGTTCTCTACACTCATCTCTCACTCTCTCTTCCCAGTCTCTCTCTCTCCATGTCTCTTTGCAGCCAGCAGATAACTGTGTCAGCGACTCTGATTTGCTGACTCTGCAGATTTGCACAGCTACGATTTTGAACACTTGCATTTTGGTCTATTTCAAACTTTCTGAAGAATTATCACAAAATCTATTTGAACCTCACAGTGCAATCATTCATGTGAGTCGTGTCCTCTTCTCCTGCAGGTCCTGCGCACCCACGTGATGGTGCGGGTGAGCGGGGGCTGGGACACTCTGGAGCACTACCTGGACAAACACGACCCGTGCCGCTGCGCTGCCTTTGGTGAGTCTGACATCACTTCCTGTCTCCGGCACAGACTCTGTGACTGTCCCCATGTGCAGGCTTTGTCACACTGGTCTGATCAGTCATGGCCTGGAAATAGCACCCTTTATCCTGAAACGCTACATTTAAAATGTATTCTGGAAATCTTTACATATTTAACTGGTTCATTTTGAACATATGTCACCTCTGCTCTGCAAAAAAAAACAAAAAAAAACCCTGAAAGTCTATTTGGTTATAATCTCCTTATTTCCAAATATAAAGTTAGATTTGAATAGTTCAGACTGATGCACATAGTCTCCTCTAGAATTTTCCCAAAAGCACTAGGAATAGTAATGCTCCACCATACACACTTTAGTTATGAAAAAAGTGGATTTAATGTTTAGTTCCTTTATAAAATTCCGATGTGGGTTCAAATAGGAGGAGGTTAGGGTTTAGGTTAAGGTTAAGGTAAGGATCAGTCTCTAGGAAATGAGTGTAAGTCAAAGTAATGTCATAGAAGCACAGCTGATGTGTGTAAGTTCTGTTGAAGTTCAGCATGATTTTCCTGTGGCTATCATTTATCTTGTGTTGTTGTGCACCAGCTCACCGGTACCACCAGGCCAAAGGCAGCGGCCAGGGTCAGGGGGCCCAGAGCAAGTCCTCCAGCACCCAGTCTTCTCGCTCCACCAGCCCAGGGCCCCACTGGAAGAACGAGCCAATCAGCACCTGTAAAGCGGGCTCCTCCCCCGGCCGGCCCTCTGGCTCCTCCCCCTGCCGTTCGGGCTCCTCCCCCAGCCGCTCCTCTGAGGTAGACAGCCCCGCCCACAGCCTGCTGCCCCGCCCCCCTCGGGACCGCTCCGAACCCCGACACCTCAACCGCCTCAGGTAGGACCTGCTGTGTCAACGCCACACACCACAAGATGGTCTAATCCTGCTTTATTTGAAAATGGACTTTTTTGAACATTTAAGTCGTTGAATTTTCCAGCTGTCGGGTTTGAGCTCACAGTTGCCATTGGTAAATGGAAGCTAGATCATTTGAACTGGTTTTGCATGAGGACAGTATGGTCGTACTTCAGAATTGTCTACAGTGCTATTGAAAGCAGGACTGAGGATCTAATCTTTTCCTAAGTAGTGAAATGCAGTATTCACCTCCCCAGAGCTCAGAGGTGGTCTGAGAGGCCGATGGCACATGCAGCCTCATTTCAACACGGCTTGTTCACTTTCAGTTTATCAAACTGGTGAGCACAGTGTGCATGGGAACTGTTTTAGGATTTAAATTTCTCACATCGTGGTGCATGACATCTATAATCCATAGTATCTCTAGTTTTTGTTTTGTTTTTTTGCAAAATTAGACAAAAGTACACTTAACCCTAGATGTTATTTTCCAGTATTGGTGAGTAAGTCTTTATTTCTATAGCACTTTTCACAGACATTTTTGTCACAAAGACTCTTTACAGAGCATTATTCAGCATTATTTATTCACTCTGTACCTGGTGATGGTAAGCTACTCTTGTAGCCACAGCTGCCCTGGGGCAGACTGACAGAAGCGTGACTGCCATGCAAATCAGCGCCAACAGTCCCTCCGACCACCACCATCACTCACACACACACCACTTTCATACTAGACAATGAGGGTGAAGTGTCTAGCCTAAGGACACAGTTATTACCACTAGCCCCAGTGTTAATTTCCACCTGTAAACCCTGATTGAGTGTATTTAACTGACTTTGACTCAACTGTTCTGGACACCTGTAGCATGTTTTGGGTTGATGGGGGAAACCGGAGCACCCGGAGGAAACCCATCCAGACACGGGGAGAAACATGCAAACTCCACACAGAAAGGCCCGAGCGACCCGGGGATCGAACCCTGAACCATCTTGCTGTGAGGCATGAGTGCTAGCCACCAATAGTGGTGGGAGAGCATTTGCCATGAGTACCTAGCTGGAGGTATGTTCCATAAAGATAGTCTAAAGATTGGCTGTTCCTGTCACTGTGAGCAGTGTTTGTTTGGTCCCAAACACCCTGTCAGTGGGTGCACCTGCCGTGTGTGCACCTGCAGAGGCTCAGACAGACTACATTAATCCTGCCCCAGGTGACCAGGTGACAGGGCCAAACACTGCTCCAGCACTCCCCCTACTGGCTCAGAACAGGCTCCCGAAGCACTAGGGACGTGATCGTTTGTCCAAATCAATATGTGCAACTTTTACTCCACACCACAAAATCTGCACGTTAATAATCTCCAAACGCCTCAGTGTAAACATTTAACCATAAGGGACATGACGAGGCAGAGCAGGTGGAGAATCAGCAGGAGAATGGACTCTGCATGATCTGGTTCTTCTTCCCGGAATCTTCTACAGTAGGGAATTAATCAAATCAGTCTGGACAAGCAGATCACACCACTCAGCCAAGTTACAGGTCACATCTGTGGAGAGGTGACCTAGGACTGCTCGACTATGGTAAATAATGTGAGGACAGGAGGAGAAGTGAGGAGAGGAGGAACAGTGAGGACAGGAGGAGGAGGAACAGTGAGGACAAGAGGAGGAGGAACAGTGAGGACAGGAGGAGGAGGAACAGTGAGGACAGGAGGAGGAGGAACAGTGAGGACAGGAGGAGGAGGAACAGTGAGGACAGGAGGAGGAACAGTGAGGACAGGAGGAGGAGGAACAGTGAGGACAGGAGGAGGAGGAACAGTGAGGACAGGAGGAGGAGGAACAGTGAGGACAGGAGGAGAGGAACAGTGAGGACAGGAGGAGGAACAGTGAGGACAGGAGGAGGAGGAACAGTGAGGACAGGAGGAGGAGGAACAGTGAGGACAGGAGGAGGAGGAACATTGAGGAACAGGAGGAGGACAGGAGGAGGAGGAGGAACAGTGAGGACAGGAGGAGGACAGGAGGACAGGAGGAGGAACAGTGAGGACAGGAGGAGGAGTGAGGACAGGAGGAGGAACAGTGAGGACAGGAGGAGAACAGTGAGGACAGGAGGAGGAGGAACAGGAGGAGAGGAGTGAGGACAGGAGGAGGAACAGTGAGGACAGGAGGAGGAACAGTGAGGACAGGAGGAGGAGGAGTGGACAGGAGGAGGAACAGTGAGGACAGGAGGAGGAGGAGTGAGGACAGGAGGAGGAGGAACAGTGAGGACAGGAGGAGGAACAGTGAGGACAGGAGGAGGAGGAGTGAGGTGAGGACAGCCAGAGACGACGCTGCAAAACATTTGTCTTTGTCACGGTCCTCACTGAAGGTCAGCACGAATTCAATGTGTGTTTTCGAGTGGACTTTACTCTCTGTTTTCCTCTTATGAGTGACATCAGCACACACACGGGGCTTGTATAGTAAAGTCGTGTGTGTGTGTGTGTGTGTGTGTGTTTGTGTGTGTGTGTGTACATGAGCTCTGTGCCGTGCTTTGGCCCACCTCCTAAAACCAGGTCAAAGTCCCACCCGTGCTGTGTGTGGGAAAGGTTTGACTGCGCTCACACTGGACAAACATTCCACACTTTAGGGGTGATCTGTGCTTGGGCACGGTTCTATATTATAATATCTATCTACCTTTCAACTCAATTATATGAGTTTGGAGGTTGTTTGATACACAAATCAAAATTGCGATTAAAAATCAATTAACTGCACAGCCTTAAGGTGACCACCCTCATTATAAGAATGCATGTTTTAAAGTTTTTTGCAGCTGAAACACCTGTGATTGAACAAATGCAATATATATCTATTTAAAGCCATACTATGGAGCGTTCCAGGCAAATTGCATTTCGGCAGAGACAGACAAGTAGTGGATCACCCTTTTAAAAAGGTTCCATACATAGTGCACCAATAAGTGTGTTCGTTTAGCCTGTAGACCAGGGGTGTCCAAACTTTTTTCATCAAGGGTCACCTATCTAAACACAGATGAAGCAGAGGGCTGATCGAGGGCCGTGGACTGGTGCTCAATACAGTGAATAATTGAAATATGTGCATGTTTAACACGTTAGAATGAATCATCAGTCTTTACTCATGCTAAGATCCTTAAAACCACACAACAAATATTAAATATTAGCTCAATCAAGGTAGATTTAAAAAAAAAAACTTGCAGCAAAAGATACATTTTTAATTGATGCAAGGTCATTTGGGCCAATTCTCCTGGTAGACTGAGGGCCAAGAAAAATTTGTCTTAGGGCTGCATTTGGCCCACGGACCATAGTTTGGACATGCCTGCTGTAGACTTTGGGCAGAAGTTTTAGTGGTTCATAGCACTTTTCAAAAATATCCAAAATGAGTTACTAATTGATGCCAACACTAAGCTCAAAAGTAGATACAAATTTTTCACAGATATCAATACTAAAAGAGTCTCACTGACAGGAGAGAAATGAACCTTTCCTGAATGTGTTTAGAATGATGTTGAGCTGCATCAGAACAAGTGTCAGAGCACACAGACTAGTACACACACGGACCAACATGAACCTACTGCACCACTGACCATTACACACATATAAGACACATGGGAAAAGAAAAGCAAGTGCTACCATTTAAAGATTCTATTGTTTAAAGAAAGAGTGTTCTTTATTATCATTGTGGGTCAGTATTGAGTTTTGAGTCTATTTCTTGGTGTAGAAATAGAGTTTGAAATGTTAGGATTGCGACAGTACTGGTTTAAAGTGTCGTGGTTGGCTTGGTTCTGCTGCAGGACATGGAGGGATGAGGCTCAAAGGCACAATGGCAGGGCCCGTGCGCTTTAGCCCTTTGGACAGAGCTCTAATCTGACAGGGCAGACACTCCCGCTGTGGGGAAGTAGGTCAACAGGTGGAGCCAGACATCAACACCAGCTAATTATGTCTGCAAATAGATCGAATTAACAGCATTGCTTCATCTTGAATACATCCCCCCAGTCTCCCTTATCAGATGCCCTTCCATCCTCTTGTATCCTTGTGTGTCAGCTTCCCTCCCACCCCTCGATATCGTTCTGTGTCAGATGCCCTCCCATACTCCTCTAACCCTGTGTGTCAGATGCCCTCACCTGGCCTTGCTTGACTAACCTAGGACTGATTCCAGGACTGAAACAGGAGGACTAAAATGGGACTAAAATGGGACTAAAGCGGGACTAAAACGGGACTTAAACAGGACTAAATTGGGACTAAAACGGGACTAAAACGGGACTAAAATGGGACTAAAACAGGACTAAATTGGTACTAAAACAGGACTAAATTGGGACTAAATTGTGACTAAAACAGGACTTAAACAGGACTAAATTGGGACTAAAACGGGACTAAAACGGGACTAAAATGGGACTAAAACAGGACTAAATTGGTACTAAAACAGGACTAAATTGGGACTAAATTGTGACTAAAACAGGACTAAAACAGGACTAAAACGGGACTAAAACGGGACTAAAACGGGACTGAAACTGGACTAAATTGGGACTAAAACTGGACTAAATTGGGACTAAAACTGGACTAAATTGAGACTAAAACAGGACTAAATTGGGACTAAAACAGGACTAAATTGGGACTAAAACAGGACTAAATTGGGACTAAAACAGGACTAAAACAGGACTAAAACGGGACTAAAATGGGACTAAATTGGGACTAAAACAGGACTAAAATGGGACTAAAACGGGACTAAAACAGGACTAAAACGGGACTAAAATGGGACTAAAACGGGACTAAAACAGGACTAAAACGGGACTTAAACAGGACTCACTGTCGGGACAAGCTCGGAGGTGACCGCACCTTGGGCCATCGCCCAATCGTGCTTTGCGGAGTCAGGGTTCTCTCTCTCTTAAGTCCAAAATAAGTCCTGGTTTAGACCTGGTTTAGTCCTGGTTTAGTTCTGGTGTAATCCTGGTTTAGTCCTGACCCAGTCCTGACCTGCCTGTGTGTAATCACTACCGCAAAATTCCAGAATGTTAAAACCCGCCCGATTCCGCAGCTATTTTCCAAACCCAACCCAGTGCAGGACTCTGCTACAGCTGCGTAACTTTTACCTTCCTTCAGCGTGTCCAGAAGTCCAACTTTTTGTGCGATAGTTTGCATCTTCCTCGGCCTTTTGGGTGCGAGCGTAGGAGCCTTTGTCGGTGCAGAACGTTTCGTCGACATTGTGGATTTTGTCTGAGAGAAAACCTACAAACATACAGCACTTCAGAATCACACTGATAGAGAGCGAACATTTATGTAAAGCTGACAGCTGAACACATTCTGTACTGTACAGGAGACACGGCACGGAGGAGAGTGATTAACAATGGTCTACAGCTGATCCACGAAACAGAGAGACCGCGAAAAATGAACCCCCGAAATAGTGAGGAACGACTGTATACAATTTAGACAAGCTTTGGCCCTGGTTTGACCCACATTGTGGTCGCTAAGTAACAGTTATGGAATTATCTCTACATATCTATAGAGATGTAACGATATCCAAATTTCCTGGTATGATATTTTTACAACATACATCTCATGGTACTATACTGATTGTGATAAAAAACTGTGAATATGCTACTTTGTCCTTTAAAAATGTGTCAGCTTCCCTCCCACCTGTCTACATCCTTGTGTGTCAGATGCCCTCACATACTCCTCTAACCCTGTGTGTCAGATGCCCTCCCAGCCTCCTATATCCCTGTGTGTTAGATGCGATCCCACCCTTCTATATTCCTGTGTTGCCCTACAATCCCTCTGTATCCTTGTGTGTCAGATGCCCTCCCATCTTTCCTGTATCCCCGTAGCGTTTAACTGGGATCGCATCAGGTCAAATGTCTCGAGTTAATCCGCAGATGTTGTGTTGTGTCAGATGCCCCCCGGTTGGAGAAATCCAGCGGGAGAGTGGAACCTGTCACTGATAGAAATGATCAGGGAAAACATTTGTGGAATTTCCTGGTCATTTTTTTTCTGTCAAGTATTCCGATTAGATTTGCGATTTATCTTTCAGCATTCAGAGTTCACATTATAAACATTTGACTGACAGACTAATACAAGAATCACATGGCAGAACATGTTTGTACAGATCTAAAGTACAGAGGGAGCAGTTTTTATGCACAATAAGACAAGAGATTTTGATGTTTGTGGAGGAAATTTGAATTTGAATTTATTTGTTTGGAGGATAAGCCCCTTGAGATGTCTCGCCATCTCGTTTTTGAGGGGGTCCTCATAAATACAATGACAAAAGACAGATACAGTAGGACAGACAGTAGGAGACATAAATTCAAATAAGCATCAAAACGACAAAATCAACACAACCACAAACACACACACAGTCACACACTCACTCACGCTTGACTGTCTGACACATAAGAAAATACATTTGGAAAAAAAACGAATAAATAAAAAAAAAAAAAAATAATAATAATAATAATAATAATAATAATAATAATAAAACAGAGTTCAAAGATAATCACAGAATACAACAAGATGAAATGAATGATACTTCAAAAATTGCATCCTTTGTGATTTGCTAATTGCTTTGATTCATATTGAGATTTATTTTGCAGCTCTAATTATTACGTTTTTTAGTCACGTCAGTACAATTTAATACAAAACATAGCCCGTTTTATTCTTCCAACATCTTCAGTCTGCTCCAAACAAAAAATATTGAAAATCAGACACTAATCTATTGTAAAACTAGAATAGAAATTATATATTCATTTGAGCAGGTATTGATACTAAAATAATCCCACTGACAGGACAGAAACAAACCTCTCCTGAATGTTTTTAGAATGTTGAGCTGTGCAGAACAAGTAGAAGAGCACATCGACTAGAATACACACATGAACCACTATAGAACTTTAATGTTGAAAATCACTTTCTATTGTCTAAAGAGTGTTTTTTGTTTTGTTATTGTGGTATCAGAATCGATATTGAGTGACCAGCCTGTTCCTTAGTATCAAAATTTAGTTTAAAATGTTCACATCGTGACAGCACCAGCCCATTCAAAGTGCAATTTCAGTTTGATTGCAATTCTAATTATTATGTTTTTTCAAGCCAGTTATTAGTCACACCATTTCCTTTTAACACAAACAACAGCCTAATTCTCTTTTTTCAAATACTTCCACACAACAGGCCTTTACTGACTGAGGACTGGCTGTAGACCTCTCCTTTAGAATCATGATGAAAATAATGTGTGCTGTGTGTGTATGCTGTGTGTATGCTGTGTGTGTGCTGTGTGTGTGCTGTGTGTATGCTGTGTGTGTGCTGTGTGTGTATGCTGTGTGTTGTGTGTTGTGTGTGTGCTGTGTGTGTGTGTCTGTTGTGTGCTGTGTGTGACCAGTGCGTGACAGCGGCCCCTCAGCTCGGCTCACAGGACCATAATCCCTGACTCTGAGTTTGTATCTCCACTAATCCTCGACCTCTGACCCCTCTGTGGTCACTCACGGCCCTCGCTGTGTCCAGGCGACAGTCTGCAGCACTAACATAGACAGCCTCTAGTGGTGGTAGATGAGAATACAACTAGAGCCCGGCTGGCTGTAGTTCAGCATAAAATAAATAAACCAGGACTAATCTTGCGCTTGAGAGACAGAGAGAGATAGAAACTGAGTCCTGACACTCAGTCCTGGTTCAGTTTTGGTTTAGTCCTGTTTTACACATGGTTTAGTCCTGGTTTAGACCTGGTTCAGTTCTGGTTTAGTCCTGCTTGCAACAAAACAATCTGAAGAGTCATTTGAGAGCCGAAAGAGCCAGCTGCTTTTAGTGAGCCGAGCCAAAAGAGCCTGTTCTCTAAAAAGAACTGGAATACCCAACACTAGTGTCTAGAATGTGATGCAAAAATGCCATAATTCCGATCTACTGTCTGTAAATATGACATAAAGAGGCAGAATAACAATAAATGTTTCCTAAATAAGCCCAATTTAAAATCCACTAGAGCCAAACCTCAAGATTTACAGTGACTAAATATATTGGCGATTATATCAGCAGCTCCAACTCCCATTTTATCGGTTTCATATCGGCCACAACAAAATCCATATCGGTCAGACCCTAAATACAACCGGGCTGGGTTAGACAGTCCAATTACAACTGTGTATGAACTGTGTATGGATCTGTTGACAGATATGAGCTAAACATGTGTAAATCAAATACAGCCTTTACTGATAACAAGTGTATTGCTGATTTACTCTTAATTACAAAAACACAAACATTCATTTGTTATGATTTGGTGTTTTGGTTCTCAAGATGATTATCCAGAAGTGCTGAAATCCAGCTGGTTTAAAACTAAAATGTCTCTCTCTGATCTGAACGGTCCCTCTCTAAACTCCAGCTCCTGCAGCAGTCATGAGTCAGTGCTAGTGCAGCCTCTGGAGGTTCTGAGCTTTCACATGAGGCCTGAACATAAACTGAAAATGAGACAAATTTAAATGTCTCCTGTTCTCTATACAGGTTCAGACTCTGGCAACTCGTGGCATTCCTTGATATAATTGTCAATTGTGTAAAAAATGTGCCAAATAATTGCAGTGCTAATTGTTGCCATAGTCAAGGAGCACTCACTGAAATATTATAATACAAAAACAATGTAGACGTAGCTGTCCTGGGCTGAAAAATGTACTTTTAAGAGCTTTTAACCACAATATGGTTGTTTCTTTTTCACTGACCCTCTGAAGATGTATTTAGAGTGATTCATGCATTGCTCTGTACTTACTTTATTCTCCAGTTTTATTTTTTTAAATCAGTGATACATGTAGGATTCATCAGCATCACATAGTCATTTTGGTGCAAATGTTTAAAAAAAAATGCTCTTCTCTAGTGTGATATGCAGCTCTCCACAGGAGGGGCCCACATCATGTGCTGCTTCCACTGTGCACCACCTTTTTCTAATGTAGAAGTCAGTGGATGTTCATTTTATGAAGTTGTTTTAGGTTAATATTGTGAGTGAAAATGTAGTGTAAAATTCTAACATAATGATCCACGGGGGTCATAGATTAGAACTATATAGCACACACCAGCACGTGACTGCTTTAAGTCTAAACCAGCAGTGTTCACTAACTGAGCATTAATGATCCAACTTCGTAACTGTCATTGCTAATAAAAGCTGCTAACATACACACTTTTCCAAATATAGATTCACAGTAACTCATGTACTTTGAACATTCTATTTTTAGATATGCTAGAAAATGAGAAATGTTCCCAAGATCACCTCAGGCCATTAAACTGTGTGCACTTGAGTCCAGCTTCATAGTTGAAATCTTTTTAATATAATTCCGAGACATAACTCTGGAGTTGACAGTTCCATTTGTGTGTTACAGGAACAGGGACAGCGCGCTACCGCTGACCAGGCGTCTCTCCGGGGACAGCGACTCGTCCACAGCGTCCTCAAAAGGGGGAGGGGCTCCGTACACTCGCCGCTCAGGGGAGGAGGTCATCCTGATGGTCAACCGCAAAGAGGGCAAACACATCATCGAAAGACCTGGAGTGACCAACACACCCAGGACCACGCGCCCCTCCCCCCGCACCCGCAGCCAGTCTAGAGAACCCAGCCTCAAACCCAGCCCCCCCACCACCACTGAGGACCAGCCAGAGAGGGGCCGCTCCCTGGGCACTGATGGACCCCGCAGGTTCTACGTCCCTCGCTCACACAGCCAGGGCAAGCTCATCAGTCGCACCCGCGCCAGTGATGCCAGTCCCGGGCCGGCTTCTCGTGTCAGGGACCCTCAAAGAGAGGAGCTGAGGCCTAAGGGGACCCCCTCCTCCTCCCCCAGAACTGCCAAGAGACAACCACCAGGGAGCACCAGCTCACCACTGAAGGGTACATCCACCAGCAGCTGTCCCAGTAAGAAGATCAACACTCCCAGACCTCCAGCCTCTCGCTCCCCCTCCCTCGGGAGAGGACGCCTCCCCCCAGTGTCAGGGGGCCGGCGCTCTCCTCACGCCTCCCCTCACCACCACCAAACGGGCCGCCCGCCCCGGCAGTCCCACGGCCGAGGAGGACTGCATCGGAACAGCTCAGCGGAGGAGGCCAGGGGACTGGCCTTCCACATGCTGCCCCCGCTGGACCCTCAGAGAGAGCAGGACCTGTACCGCAGTCTGGAGGCGGAGTTCTTGGAAAACACTCGGCAGGTGATGTCTGGAGCGGGAGGTGGGGCCCGAACCCACCTGGCACCCGCCTCTGATGTCACAGATTCCGCCTACTCCTCCTCTAACTCGTCCTCTTCCTCGCTGAATGTTGGCACTAAGGCCGGATCTCTTCCAGACCTAAAGGAGTCGAGGAGGACACACAGACCCCTCCCTGTGGACGACCCTTTGACGTTACTGTCGGGACAGAGCTCAGGGGTGGGCACAGGAGCGGGCATAGGGCTGGGACAGGCATTGCCCGAGCACTGGGCAGGTCGTGGGCTCATGAAGCTGCCTGCCATTTCCAGCTCCTCTGCAGACACCAACAATCATGTTCAGGACTCTGCACCTGCACAAGGCCAAGCACCTGTACAGGACCCAGCACCTGCCCAGAGCCTAAGGAGCCTGAACGGGACCCCGTGTAGGACCCTAAATGGGGGCCGTGTGTCTGTGGGGGGGGTGGGGGGAGATGTTCCATCTGACTGTGCTCATGAGAAGAATGGCAGTGAGGACCTCCCGCCCCCCGAGGCCTGCCCCTCTCCCCTCTCCCTCCCCCTCTCAGAGGAGTACCCTGACTCCTCCAGTGAGAGCTCCTCCATGTGCTTCAGTCTGAGCGAGTCCCCCCCTCCCACCCCCCACTCAGGCCTGGTCAACGGAGGGTCAGAGTCCTGTAGGAAAGACATCCACAAGCACAAGCTGAGGGCCCGAGTGAGGCCCCGCACTGACCCCAGGCCTGCCCACAGCCCCTCTAGGATCCCCACCCCTGTCAAGTACAGGTCCCCCTGTCACACACCTGTCACCTTTAGGTCCCCCTGTCAGACCCCCCCTTTGTCCCCCCAGGGCTCTGCAGGACGGGCGGCCTCCTGTAAGGGCCTGCACCAGGCCTTCCCTGGACAGTCGGGGAGTCTGGACACTGAGGCTTGGATGTAGAACAATAGTGGTGTTTTTTAAGAGTTGAATAGTGACTACTGTTGTGTCCATGCTGATGCATTTTTATTTCAAAAGATTTTGCACAGAACCATCAGTAAAAGAACAGCTTTATGTTTAATATTTTTAATCTGAAGATGTCTCAGAATGCTATTTCCATTTCAGTCGTGCTTTCTGTTCTCAGTACAGTTCAGTGGATCAGCGGTGTGTGTGACACAGGGGACAGCTGGTTACTCTTAGATCAGGTCTGTAGTTTAAAAGCCATAGTCGGCATACCTGTTATTGCCTAAACAATAAAGAGAGGAACATGCACATTTTGCTAGCACTCATTGGTTACCATGGTATCCTAGTGCTCTAAATGTTTGTGTGGAGTTTTCTGTAGCATGAAGCTGCACATTTTAACAGGAGCTGCCACTCACTTTAAACTCTGCAGAGGTGTCTGTGCTCATCCTGGGACCTTACAGGCACCTTTACTTAAGCTCATGTGGAACACATCACAGTAGGTTCATCTGAACTTTTTTAATGTCCTCATTAGAATCATATGGCACTGTATTTCTGACACTTTTATTTGGTAATGTCAGCACTAACACTTCCATAGTTGCTGCCCTGAAGTGGTCACGTTTGGAATCTAAATGCATGAGTGTGGACATGGTTTTGTAAAAAGACTTTGAATGGGGCGATACGTACTGTTTTTACTGCATGTCAACTGTTTTTAACCTAAGTTTTACCCTTGCTGAACTGCAGGGGGCGTCATGTTGCTTTTTTTGCACTCAAGCCAAATTATTTATTACCAAAGGGTCGTTTTTACTTTGAGATTATTGTGTGCATGGACTTTGCTTTCGCCTGTCACTCTGTTAGATTTAGTACCCAGAACAGACTGGCTCTGGTCGGCCAGGTTCACAAACTGGTCAGATCCTTTCCACTTCTCTCTATACTCTACAGTGCTCTAGTGGTGTAATCCTAGCATTAGGTTTAAATGGACTGCCTTCCACATACTCTGCTGTCTGTGTACTGTTGACTGGAGATAACTTCATATCACAAGGAACCTAGTTTTATTATATTTTATTTAAATGAGATTATCAAGTTTAGCTTATTTATCCCATTGTAATGGAAGCAATTTTTGACCCATAAAAAGCATTAAAGAAGACTTATTGTTATAGCTATAGATATAGTTATAATCTGACACCTATGGATCATTATAATTTGAACATTTTAAATTGCAAAACAAATAATTTCATAGAGATTAATGATGCAAATAAGATCAAGATTTTGTTTTAGTTAAGATTAAAATGGATAAGATGTAAAATTGTAGTACATTCTCTTCTACTTTGCAGCAGGACAATTCCTTACAATCTGACTTATTTCAGTAAGTTGCGTTCACGTTCTAGTATTTAATGATGTCATAATTTCAAATGGTGGGCGGGGCTTATGAGATTGTTAAGAAATGATGTCACTTCGGGTCCCAACGGCAACTTCACACTGATTTCTGAATTGTTAAAGACGTATGTTTAACCACAGACTGTATCAAATGAAATGTCACTAACTGCTGGTCTTTTAACACAAGATGGGCTGTGCTAAAAAAAAGAAAAGAAAATTGTAACAGAATTCAATGAAGACATTGAACTTTGGGCCAGTTTTTGTTTCATGTGGATAAGCTCAGTCTGCATCAGCAATATCTGCATCTGACAGTTCCAGAGCAAAGTCCACCTGAGAATTCTGAACGCACGTGAACGCAGCCTATTGTTTGATAAATGATCTTTTCTATGGGTAAATTGCTTCCAAGTGGTGACAAAAACCACCACCGATGTTTTTTTATTTTTTATTTTTTTATTTTCAATGCAGTATCAGAGATAGGAGAACTGTAAAATACTTAACACGTGTAAAACAGACATGGGTCAAGACAGAAAATCCCGAGGTTTGGCCCTGTCCTTGAACACATCATATGAAGCGTCTTTGTGTAGGTCTGTGCTGTCTTTGCTATGCAACATCAGTGTCGCAAATGCCTTGACTTTCCCTTTGCCTTAAAACTGACCACACACTTGAGTCTGAATGTTCTGCAATTCATAATTTCAGTGTTTTTATTTGGCAACACAAAGAAAGCAAAAAATCTGATTGTCAGTGAGACGAAGATGAAATATTGCCAAATCTTAAGTCGAATGTGATGATGTCGTACTCTCAGATGGAGGCAAAAAAAAAAAAAAAAAAAACACTTTTCCCTATTGATACTTTGTAGCTGATGTCATCTACATTCCTTGGGGGAGGGGGGGAGGCTAACTGGAAGCACATCTCCGTCTGAAGCTGTGTTACACCAGTAAGACTCTAATCTGAGTGTTGTTTTAACACAATCTGACCATAAACTGATTTAGCTGATTTGTGCTGTTAAACAAGTTCTTCTCAAATAACATTAGTCACAAGCTAGAGAGCATTATATGCCAACAAGTTTTTCACTCAGCTAAATATGTTTTCAGATTCCACAAAAACTGAGTGACTGTCTTTGCTGACATTCCCCATAGACATGAATGAAGTACCCCCCATGTCATGTCACTGCAAAGTATCAATTAGTTCAATAGTTCTTTGTCATGAAATCTCCAAAAGGTAAATTCATAAATGTTGAACCTGATTGTTTCTGTAAGTGACTAGAGCCAAGAACTCGGTGTATTACGACACAAATGTGCATCTGAACAACATTCGTCTGATCTGCCTCCTTTTGTATTTCATGTGATTGGCCTGTAGAATGTTGTGACGTCTTCTGAAAGCAGCAACAGGAGTTTGACAAGGCACAGTGTACGGCGACATCTAGTGGTCAAAAAGAGTATGAATTGAAGAAAAGTGAAGGGGCAGCACATGGTTTGTTGGAGCATAGTTAAGAGTAGAGTAGTGTTATCTTATGTGAAACAGTGGAGGAAAAACGCAGTGTGGAGGCCGGATCATGTGAGAGACTGGGGCTACCTGTCAGGAGTACACAACTGTGCATGTTTTGTTGGCAGTGTTGGGGAGTAACCGATTACATGTACCAGAGTTATGTAATCAGAGTACAAATTATGAGTAACTGTATTCGGTTATGGATTACACGGCGGGATTTTCCTGTTTTCACATTTTGGGCCATATCCCTATATATATATATTTTTTTTCTCAGTAATTCCACTCATTGCCGGAAACTAAACCAGGTCTAAACTAGATCTTAACCAGGACTAAACCAGGTCTAAACCAGGACTAAAACCAGGTCTGAACCAGGACTACAACAGGTCTAAACCAGGACTAAACCAGGACTACAACCAGGACTAAACTAGGACTAAAACTAGGTCTAAAACAGGTCTAAACCAGGACCAAAACCAGGACTAAAACCAGGACTAAACTAGATCTAAACCAGGACTAAAACAGGACTAAAATCATGCTGCGTGGACCTGTCTTCTCTTCTTCTATCAATAATATTTTTAATTTTTGGTTAAGTAAAGTCTGGGCTTTTTATTTTCTTTTAGCAGATGAAACATCTTATGTTACGATATCCTAGTCTTTGTTTCTCTACATCAAATCAAGTAATCCAAAGTATTCAGATTACATTACTCACTTTAAGTAATTTAATGAATTCCGTCACAAACTACATTTTGGGGTATGTAATCTGTAATCTGTAGGGGAATACATTTTAAAAGTCACCCTCCCAACACTGTTTGTTGTTGGTGGGAATAGAGGAACATCGCCTAGACACAGGAAGAACATGCAAACTCCACGTAAAAGTAAAGTACATAAAAGTATTCGTGGACCAGACTGCTCCTTGTTTGTGAGTTTAAAATGCATGTTGAATTGTGTGAGTTTGTCTCCGCTCAGTGCACCCCAGTGTCACACGTGAGGCCCTCACACGAGCACTTTGTAAATGATGTATCAGAGGGTTATGGGAACTGTCTTTGTGTGTAACTTCTGAACTTTGAAATTGTTTAAAGTTGACATATTACGCAAGATTGGCTTTTATGCTTTAAAAACACTCGAGGAGTTTGTTTTGGTGTCATTCACTCATTGGTGCTGAACTTATTTATTCATTTATTTTCTACGAACTAAAATTTGCTCCTCATGTTTTTAAAATCCATTTTCATTTGACTCTTTCGAAGAATTTCAGTGCTTGAATTGCATGTACTAAATTGCATCATGTTGCTAAATTTAGTGTGATTCTTTTGGTCTTATTGGTTTATGTCCTCTGTTGCCAGCAGAGGTCACGGCTAACAGAAACATTGTGCTCACTTTTATTACCGCCTGTAGCTGTTATTTTAAAAGCTCTGTATCTGATTTTTACTGTCTTACAAATGTGTAAAACAGAACTGGTTCATTCTAAACAATTTTAGACCTAACTGATCCACAACAGAAATTATTTGCAGTGGTCCAGAGTTCTTCCTCATTTTCCTTCTGCATTCTGAGCATCCTAATTATTCATCACAATGAGTTTAGAAGTGCGTTTCAAAACACTTTTTGTGAGTTTTGCCATCACTTTTATGTTAACAACAAATAGCATGCTAACAATAACATGCACTTACTGATTGTCTGACTATACATCGCTTTATAATTAGATGCAGACAGTACACAGAGGAGTTCTTTTGACCACAGGAGCTGCTTATACATTATATCTGTACTGGGGCAAGACACATTTAGCTCAAATACATGGAGCAAATCCGATACAGGGCTTTTATCAATGCAAAGGTGTGGTGTGTAATGTGATTCAAAGCCAATCTGAAGCCTAATCTGTCTCCTTTTGGTCGAGTGTACATACTGAGTGTGCATATTGTGTTGGAAAAGACTTTGGAGGGTATTTATTTATTTATGCTGGAGTATGGAACACTATTGTGATGTGGTACTGGGCCTGGTGGACTACAGCTGCCAACGTGCGTGCAATGTCCAAAAATGTGCTTTATTATGAGGGGGAAAAAAAAGAAATTGTTTTTTTAAACTAGAATTTGCAGAGTGTAAGAGGAGTGACTTATAAGATTTTTTTTTTTTTTATTAAAAGCACAATATGATTAGGATATGGTGCAATTTTAAAATCTGCTACACTGCAGTAAAAAATCCTTTTTTTTTTTTTACTTTTTATTTGAATTCTGACATAGGGGTAAGATTGTTACTGGTTGCAGGTTTGATTTTTATTTTTTGGCTGGTAAATTTGATTAAAGGAACTGTATGTAGCCTGCTCTCTTACTAAGAAAAAAGATACTAAAACCACAACTAAGCCTGTCTTCCCAGAACCTGAACCTGCAGATAGAGGACACATTCAGCTTTGTCGCATTCTCAATTTATGGACAGGCCGGGTCTCATGTGAAAGCTCAAAACCTCCAGAATTCCCTCCCTGAGCTGCAGAGGCTGCACTAGCACTGACTCACGATTTTCTGCAGGTGCTGGGGTTTAGTGACCATTCAGATGAGAGAGCGGCACTTTTATTTAGGTTTAAACGAGCTGGATTTCAGCTTTGAACCTGGCAACCCAAACGAACCAATGAACCAAAACACCAAATTATAACCTAAAGAAATGGGGCAAATCAATATTACAATTGTTATGAGTAAAAGCGATTTGTATTGAAAATGTTCACCTCATATCTGGAGACATAAACGGGTCAAGTTTGGGACATTTGAAATCAAAATGTTACATACAGTTCCTTTCAATTAAGAAAGAAATACGATTTGAACTTCAAAGCACTGCTGACCAAAAATATCTTGTAACTTGGCCATATATTAAAGAATTTTGAATTGTAGTCTTTTTTCTGAAAAATGTACATTTATTTATATAGTTTATCAAATGAAAAAAACAAAACAACACTTAAGTCTTGTAATCTCTGTTCTAATGCGCTGTTGCACTGGTGGTAAATGGGCGACTCTAGCTTTAGTAACCCAGGCCTGTGGATACGGGGAGGCTGCCATTTTAACATCACACACTCAAACACCACTGTATGTGTATGTGCTTTTACTTTCAAATGTCACTTTTCTCACACTGTTTTAAAATATGGACCATTTCTTTATTATTGCAGAAAATGAATGATTGTGAGAATGTTGCAGAAATCGTTGTTTTCACTAACAATTGTATGACTTGATTTTGTTATAAAATGGCAATACAGCATTTCACTGGGGTCACCACCAATGTAATAAATCTCTTCTCTCTTCACCAGCTTGTGTTTCTTTTACTCTCATGGACTTCCTGGCGGATTTTGTCTATCTCTATTTTGTCATCTCTAGGCCAAACATACTCTACTAAATTATAACCTGCTAATAGAGGGCAGGTAGAGTTAAAATTTGTAAAATATCGAGTTCACTGTTTGAATGAAACTCAATCATTCCTCCTGACGATATAACTCGATACAGTTTTGAAAAGGCTAATTATAGGCTATCTTAGTGCTGTGTGGTCTGCAGTTCTTCTAGCCATGGGAACAGAGCTGAAACTTCACTGTTTTAGGTAAAAAAGTCATACATTATTAGGATATGGTGCATTTAGTTGTCATTTCCAATTTGAAAATGTATTACACTGCAATAAAGACAGGTGGGTAGTACTCAGTTTTATTTACATAATTACATTCACTTGTGTCAATTACATTAACTTTTTAAAGAAACTACTTTTCTACCAGCAAATACTTTTACTCCTGCTTGAGTAATATTTTTTATTGAAGTAACAGTACTTGTAACAGTTGCTTGTGTAAAAGTTATCATTTCTCACTAAAAGTCTACAAGTGACAAAAGCTTTATGTTGACTATATAAACACCACATCTGCTCTAATCCAGTGAAAATGCCAATGTAAATAAATATGAAATTATTTGAATATTGGTGTTTCTTGCTCCACACTTTCAGATATGATTTAGTTTATCTCAGGTCTTCTTTAAAAACACCAGATTTTGTGCATCATTTAACCTTTTGTCCTTAAAATTGTCCTGACAGTTGCTCTCACTTAAGTCATTTCTTGGCCAACTACTTTACTTCTACAAGTACAAAGTAGATCTATCCTCTGGCTGATCTACCCTCTGGCACTAAAACTAGTCTAGAAAACATGACCATATATCTACTGTACATCTAAATATTTGAATTGAGAAAAAATTATGAATAGTTTAGATTTATTGGGGCTAGATAAACCACTTTATTATTATTATTATTATTATTATTATTATTATTATTATTATTATTATTATTATTATTATTTTATTTGGCATTGCAATAATGTTGTTTTTCCTCCTCTGCAGCGTGTAGTCTAGCTCTTGCCCTCTAGACTCAAAATGCATGTTGCTTTGTTAATGATTTATGAAGGGTGCATCACATTTGCCTAAGTTACATTATAAAATCCAATGGCTACGAAGACTACTAAAAGTCTAAAACACTACTGCTGTATAATCTGCAAATCTATCCTTATAAACTGGTGACAAACCGCCTGTTGCGTTCGTTAATGATTGTGAATGAAACCTGACACCGGGAGAACGCGGAAGTGTGTGCGGGAGGAGGACCGAGCAGAGGCCGCGTACAGTCACACTTCAGCCCGATACCGACGCTGCTGTCACGGTAAGATGCCCCTGCCTCTCCCCGCTCTCCGCTAGCACCGCTCCGATCCCACCCGTACCGCCAGCGCTAATTTGTCGGGTAAGGTTTTAGAGCGGGCCGGTAGATTAAGAGCTTAACTATCCCGGGTAAATCTGCCTTAAGCTCCTACTTAGAGGTCGCGTCTGGGCGGTTCGCTGGAGAAGTGGCCGCTGACACTGACAGGCACCGCGGCGCTTAGCATTTAGCATCTATTAGCATCTTTTAGCAGCGACGAGCACTTAGCATTAGCTTCATTCATCTAACAAACTCGCACTACAACTAGCGCAAACATGCAGGAGTGGGCCAACCAGCTATGCGTGAGTAAACCCAGACGTGGCGGAGTCGTTTGCACCTGTTCTGAAAATATGACGCGATAGAATTAAAGAATTGTGTCGTTTTGGGCTTTGCTAACGCCGCTAGCCACCGTCCAGGCTATCTGCTAACAGATGTATCAGCGCTACTTCAGCAAGCTCAAAAATGACAGTTTACAGTTTAGATGAGTTTGTATTTGTAAACGAACAGGGTTCTTAATAAATTGGGGTTATTGTAGGTTTATACAAATGTGTGTTTCACTATTTAAACCTGTTGTTTTCTTTTGTACCTAGAGACATTGTAAATAAGCCTTACTATAAGTGTAACTAAACTATGACAGCAGATGTTCTCATCTATTGTCATTCAGTCAGTCATGTATAGAACAACTGCGTTCAGATCATAGTATTTCTATGATATATATTTCTCAACAGTAATAACTATTCCAAACTCCCAAATGCTCTTTTGAGTTGTTACTCAAAACAAACTGCTCCAGAATGCTGTGTGCTTTAGAAGAATCTTCTAATTGATCTGAGAGAGTTTGGTGGCAAAAGTTACACACTAAACTGGCTAATCTAACTCATTTGTAGAAGTTATTTGGCTGTTGTCACCTGATGGCAATTTTGTATTTCAGTATTTGTTTAGGAATGGGCAATATGTACATGCAGTGTTTCTCATAGATTCTGGGTGAAATAATTAAGAATTGAATAATTTTATCACATATAATTTGTGGAGAATAAATGGTGTTTACTGTTTATTTAGTCTTAAAGTAGACTGTTTTACCCTGTATAGTTACTTATAAATGTTAATGATAAGACATTGGACAACACAGTGTGATTTTGTGGTGTGTAGTGTTGTTTTTAACGTGTTAATGGGAAACACTGCAGTTCTAATGTTATTATTGGAGAGAGAAAAAAACATATTTGCTCTTTTTAGCATAATAGCTATCTGCCTTGAATGTCAGCACAGGCCAGTTTTTAGTTTTGGGTGACCTGTACACATAAAACTTTGTTTGATCGCTTTAGTGTGAAGAGATAACAGCAAAGCACGACCGCACAGCTCTTTATAGGTCTGTAGTACAAAGGTTTGTGGTGTATGTTTTATTTTTTATTTTTGTTATAAAATACCGGCAGAGCTTATTGGCCCTTGGTTTCTTTTCTAAACAGTAAGTGTTGGCATTGGCCTTGAAAATAAACATATATCCAATCTCTAATTATTATTATTCATATCCTATTGTACTCATTGAAGAACAATGAACCTTAAGAGGTGGCTGTTTGTTTACATAATCATAAGAAATAACTAATAATATAATGTTGGAGAAATACAGTTTGTTATATTTTATTTTACTAAAGGAATAGATAATTTTAACTTTAAGAAAGAAAGAGAGAGACAGAAAGAGAGAGAGACATGTCCAGGAAAAGTGGTGAGTTCCTTTGGTTTCCCTGCGCTTGCACTTCTGCTGCTTCCTGTTTTGCTGGCCTCTCTCAGATTGAAGTCATTTCTGTTCTGTTGATTTCGCTTCTGTCTCTTGAGTTGAATACATCTCTTGTGGTGTTCTGTTCTACAGGAGAACCGCCAGTTTGGATCCAAGATGACAGACTCCAAGTACTTCACCACCACCAAGAAAGGTCAGACTTCCATTCACTTAGACTGCCTTCACACTTGAACAGTGTACTTACAGCTCATCAAAATTAGCACTAAATGTGGAACTAAACCTGGACCAGACTTTCACTTAAACAGGGCTGGAAAAACATCCACTTCTGCTGCTTACTTTTACATGCCAGGCCTGAGCAATGTATTGTTTGTTTTACTGAAATACAAAATATGACATTATACTTTAGTGTTACTGATTTAAAAATGCTGCAGTATTCTCCATTTTGAGCACTTTTGACCAAAAATATATAAGAACTATAACTAATATATTGTATATAATATTCTGAAACGCACACTGTAGAATACATCCAAACCTATAAGAACCATTTAACAGTTGTAGAAGTTCACACACGTTGCCACAAGTAGTTCACCATCTTGTCTGAGAAGTCTGACCTTTAAGAACTCATTTGTTTAAGAAAAGTAGATTCAAAGTGCCCTTCTGGTTGTCAGAGTTTGAAATGAGCACCACTCCTTGAATATGATGCCATTTTTGAAATGGTAGTTTTTAGGTGTTGGCCAGTAGAGATGGTTTAAGCCTTCTTTTAACAGCTTCGCTTATACAGTTCAGACCTGCCTTAAATCTTGGACTTGGTGTAAACCTGGTCTAGTCCTGTTCCAGGTGCTGCTTGCCTATAACGTTTTCATGAGAGTACATCCATCTTGTTCCACCTGCTTTTGAAGGACTTTGACTGTCATGTTGATGGTGGTGTTTTAGTCCTACTTCACTTGTGAGCCAGTCTTTGCATTCAAAAGTCATTAGATCAAGTCTGAGGTCTGGGCCAACATAGGCGGGACTAAATTCATTTTGATAACTGTCATTTTATCAGTGCACAGGAATGGACTGTGAATGAGCCTCCCAAATTTTACTTAAGAGTTCCTTTTGTATTGCAGAAAGAATTACATTTTAATTATTTCCCCAACAAACTGCTTAAAAACACCAAACATCTCCTCAGTTTACTAGCTTTGAAACAATGTCAACAGTTAGCTGAACTCTCACAGACATGCTCAGTATTCCCATGCTTTCCATGTCTGTAAGGAGATTAAGTTAGTCTGTGTTTGTTGTGCACGCAAACATAAGACAGAAGCCGTCTTCTCTGTTTAAGAGGAAACAAAATGACAATGCAATAATAATGTGGATATTTAATGAGGTCTTTTGTTTAAACCTGTTATTACATCTTTGTTGACCATAGCAGCAATTTAGTTTGCAGTCCAAAATATTGTTATAGATTTTTCACGCGTTTTAAGATATTTTGACTTGAATTTGTATTTTGCTTTTTTTTTTTTTTTTTTTTTTTTTTTTTTTTTTTGCTTTGTAATAGCAAATTTTTGTTGTTGTTACTTGAAATAAGTAAAATATAAATTGAAACCAGTCTGAAATACAGTCAGATAATCTAGATTTGTAACTAATGACTTTTTTAAAAATGTGTTTTTTTAAGTTTCAAGGTTTTTTAATTATTCTAGAGCACAGTTATGGAATTACTTCTGCTGCCAGTTTCCAATCAGAAAGTAAAGTTATAAACTAAAATTATAAAATTAAAAAGGAATAAAGTAAAATAGGAAAAAAGTAAAACTTTATTATGCTAAATCAATTCTTTTGGAACTTTCTGCCATCTTATAACCTTATTTCATTAAAAACATGCTTGAAGAGGTTTTTGATGTCATCCATGCATGTTTGAGTAATCTAGTGATCTCTCTTGGGCTCTATTCAAACCCTCCTTATGGTGAGCAGTAAGATTCTGTGCAATAGTCAGTCCACAAGCCTACATCACCCATGGTTCCACATGGCAAATCTCAATAAATATGATACAAAACTGTGCACAATGGCTTGACAAACCTGATGTGATGTGCAGTAGTTTCTTTAACGGGATGCACGCTGACTGTTGTGATGGCGCTCTGAAGGGGGAGTGACTTAACGCTGAGAGCATAGGGACAGGAGACTCAGAGTGTCAACAATGAAAGGGAAACTTCTAAAATGTGTTAGTATATTGTTTTTGGTGAATATTTTCAAAACAATAAAAGGTAACAATGGTGATCTAAATATGTTCAGTGTTGGCAGTTAATATCACATAAAAATCTAATAATTTCTCTTAAATATAATGACATAAACTACATTTTAATGACATTAATAGTTTCATGCACTTTAAACTAGACAACTTATAAAAATGAAGTCCTTTTACCTCTCCATGCAAATATTTGATTGTGAGTTGTGTAATGTGTGCTTGTTATTGGTGCAGGGGAGATCTTTGAGCTGAAGGCCGAGCTCAACAGTGATAAAAAGGAGAAGAAGAAGGAGGCGGTGAAGAAAGTGATCGCCTCCATGACTGTGGGCAAGGACGTTAGGTGAGTACAGCACATAACATATCAGACACTGAAAATGGTGAGACAAGTGATCAGACTGAAGACTACACTGAAGCGGAATTTGTAAAGCCTAAAAATGAGCTTAAGAAGTTCATATTAGGCTATTTTCTGATCTATGTTCTAATGTGGTTTCCTCATCACAAACAGACCTGGAGTTGTGTTTTGTTTTATTCACATGTTTAACACACAAACCCTGAGTTATTCTTTCAAACTGAATAAACTCACACCTTGTGATGTTATGTAGTAACGCAGGAAGTGCTTCATTGTGTTTTTAAACTCCATACACCTTCACTAGTATCATTTGGATCATTTCAGCCTTGGAATTGCCCATCTTTACTATACAAAAAAAGTTAAAAAGCAGCTGTTAACTAAAAGGTCGGAGATGTAGACAGACAAATAATGATGGAAACTCCAGGTATGTTTTTGAGGAGATGTTTATTCATTATCCTGCTGGAAGACCCATGACCTATGACTGAGCCTAAGTTTTCTGACACTAGACACATTTCGTTCCAAAATACCTTGATAGTTTAGAGATTTTATTGTACCTTGCACAGATTCAAGACACCCTGTGCCAGATGCAGCAAAACAGCCCCAAAACAAAACCAAGTCTCCTCCGTGTTTCACAGTAGGGACAGTGTTCTTTTCTTGGTCTGCTTCATTTTTGCATCTGTGAGCATAGAGCTGATGTGTCTTGCCAAAGAGCTCCAGTTTTGTCTCGTCTGTCCAAAGAACATTCTCCCAGAAGCTTTGTGGCTTGTCCATATGCATTGTGACAAATTCAAGTCTCGCTTTTTTATGATTTGCTCTCACATGAAGTCCACTTTGGCATAAACAGTAACAGATGTTGTGATCTGACACTGATGTACTTCACCTTTTGAGTTCAGATTTAATTTGTTTGGAGGTTGTTCTGGGCTCTTTGGTTCCATTCGTATGGTCCATGTGTAACTGTAATCACAGGAACATCACGCTGCTTGGAGATGGTCTTATTGTCTTTATCTTTAACCTGCTTATCTATCATTTTCTTTCTAGTCTCCTGACACAGTTCTCTTCTTCTCTTTCTTTGGTCCATGTTCAGTGTTGTGTCCATCATGTCTCCAAACAGCACAATGACACATGTCTCCCTTTAAACAGACAGACTGACTGAGGACAAGTTTGAAGAACCTGTGATGCAGATTAGAGACACACCAAAGTTTAACATGTCCCTATTGTTCAGTTACTTACAATCTTTTCTACGGGTACCATCATTTTTGTCCAGGACAGTTTCATTATTTATTTATTAATTTTTTAATAATTCAGTTGAACAACAGTTCAAAAACATTGTCTGAGTTTCATTGGTTATTTTTCAGGAAATTTGTATTTATTATTGCTTTTCTTAGTTTCATGTTATTTCAGTGACCATTGTTGATTTTTCCTTCATTACCAGAGGGGTACCAACAATTTTGTCCATGTCTGTACATTTCAAAGCAGAGTGATTTTTGTTCTACAGACTTGTGCTAACTTAACTTACATTTAAGGACGGCTAACAGCAAAGACAACACAGAGTTCCCTGAGGGTGGAGACAGTGTCTGCTGAGCCTTTACACATGCTAAAGATTGGTCTTGGGTAGAAATCGCGCTCATTTACACAAAGACAGATTGAGAGAAAACTTTACACAATATAACTTTCAATCACAGCGTTTTCATGGAGGCAAGCAGGTTTCAAACCCCTCACCACCAGAGTCTATGTCTCACATAAAACTACCTGAGCAAACTATACTTAACTATACTACATACTATAATTATAGTTCCTTCATAGGTTTATAGAAGAACCCTCGTGGTGGTCTCAGCTCTGTAGGCATCACGTCTCATGTGACTCTTTCTCCCTTCTCTGCAGCGCTCTGTTTCCTGATGTAGTGAACTGCATGCAGACGGACAACCTGGAACTCAAGAAGCTCGTGTACCTCTACCTCATGAACTACGCCAAGAGCCAGCCCGACATGGCCATTATGGCTGTCAACACCTTTGTAAAGGTCAGCCTGTGGCTCAGTACATCCTAGTTTCACTTTTTACATTCACACTAACACAAAACACTGACAGTGTACAATCCTGTCATAATGTTTGTTTTTTGGTCCTTGTCATAAATGGCAAGTGTTCATCAACTGTTTTACTCATGGAAGATTGACAAGAGATTAGTATTTTCACGATCCTGAAATTAAACTTGAGTGTGATACTAAGAAATTGACTCTATACTCAATATACTGTATATATCAATATATATATCTATATCTATATAATATCTATCTATATCTATCTATATCTATCTATATCTATATATATCTATATATATCTATATATATATATATATATATATATATATATATATATATATATATATATATAGGGATTTTTGTAATTTCACATTCAAAACAACAATACTTTCTTTATCTTAACATGATGTCGATTATTCATTCTGATAAAGCTCAAAAGCTCACTAAAATTGTTGAGGAAAGCTTGAATTGTCCTGTTAATGTGAGTTTCAATAGCTGCTCAAGTGAGTGCCGTATATAATTTCAGTATTAGTTTAGTATTGATTTTTGACAGTCCTACTAGGGATGTACTGGTTGATATGATCTGCTGATCTAATGAAATAATAATCACATGCATTACAGAATGTTTGTACATCATGTTTGTATATATAATATACAATTACATTACATAACCTGAATAATTAATTAACCATACATTTAACCATTTGTAGTGAACCATCTTACCAGTGTATTGTGTAATGTATAATCTTGTTGTCAGGACTGCGAGGACCCTAACCCCCTGATCCGTGCCCTGGCTGTGCGCACCATGGGCTGTATTCGAGTGGATAAGATCACGGAGTACCTGTGTGAGCCCCTGAGGAAGTGTCTGAAGGATGAAGACCCTTATGTGAGGAAGACTGCCGCTGTGTGTGTGGCCAAGCTCCACGACATCAACGCTCAGCTGGTGGAGGACCAGGGCTTCCTCGACACTCTCAAGGACCTCATCTCTGACTCCAACCCCATGGTACGCTTCCTCTTTACAGCAGCTCTGTGTATTTCAGCCTGGAGAGTGACTCAGACAGTCATAAAGAGAAAAGGATTAGTAGCTTTATTGAATCGATTAGCTTTTGTACTCAGACCCCAGTAGGAGACATGGCAATGAAGGGCGGGGCCAATTAGATGACATTTAGCACAAACCGAGGTGGCCGTGCATCTGCAATGATGGTTTAAGACTGGACAGTGATTGGATGAGGATGTGTGGTGAGCAGTGGGGAGGAGTGATAGGAGTGAGGTGATGAAGGCTTGGAGCAGGTACAGCAGTGAGGCAGACTGGAGCTAAACTGTGTCTTTGCTCTATTAGTGCTATAGGTCTTTAGTCACGTAGTCAAGTAATCGGTTAATGGAGTTTTAATCGACCCAAATTTGTTAGTTGTCTAATCATTTTATTTAGACTGTAAGGATTTATCTGGGGCAACAGCAGAAGGACATTGGTGACTAAATGTGTTAGCTGAACATTTTGGTATTTTTTGTAGATTTTGGTATTTTATCTTATTTGTTTTCTGTCTCTTTTTCTAGTAATATTTTCTGCATAAATAGTTGTTTTTGCATGAACTCCCTCTGCAGGTGAGGTCTTGTGAGTGCAGTTTGGATCAGATACACAGAGATGCAAAACAGTTTTGAGAGCTTTTGCCACGCCCCATTTTAGTCCACCAGTCGATCTGCAGGACATGTTCTTAGTCCACCAAGATTTTCTTTAGCTGACCACAGGTCTAGTATTGATGAAGGTTAGGCAAGAACCTTTTGGAGGATATACTGTATAGCTCTTTTAAGGCTGAATCTCCTAAACTTTTCTAGTTTTAATATTTACATCCTGGTTGGACACGGGCAGCAGATAAGACATACCTCGTGGTAATTCCATAACTGTTACCTAGCAACCATTACAGTAACAAAGGCTTAAACCTGTCTACGTTCACACTGCAGCCTGAAGTGACCCAAATCCGATTTTTTGGCCCCTATGTGACCTGTATCTGATCTTTTAATGACAGTCTGAATGACACAGATCCGATTTTTTTCAAATGCGACCCAGGACACTTGGATATGTGGTCCTGAAACTGATACATATCTGATCTTTTGACATGCGACTTCAGTCTGAATGGCCAAAGTGCATTCATCCACCTACACGTTATCAACAAGCCACAAACGTCACTATTCTGCGCTGAAGTAGGCGACAATTGTTAATGAACTCCGTGTCACTGAAGTGAAGCACATCACCACTCACCACTCTTGTCTACGTCTCCACATCCACACGTTCCTTTCAACGGACTGTCCCACAAAACACCACGGCCAAAAACCTCGTCCTTCTCCTTCTCAATCTCCTCCTTAAAACAAGTAAGTTGTTCATGTTCTGGCTCCGGTACGAGAGGAACTTTAAAATCTCCAGGTGCTCAATTCTGCGTCCATGTTTGGACAACTTCCGTAAACACAGAGCACGCTCGCTGCGGTTGACATCGTCGTGTCTCCAGTGCACATGCGGGACACTTTTGTGGCATTTAATGTTCACACTGGAGATCACATACAAGTCACATTTAATTGGAAAAGTGAACGACCTCGCAAAAACATCTGATTACACAAAAAAAATTGTAATTGAGCGTTAAGCCCTGCAGTCTGAACATAGCCCAAGTGTCCTGGGTCGCATTTGAAAAAATCTGATCTGTGTGGTTCAGACTGTCATTAAAAGATCAGATACAGGTCACATAGGAGCCAAAAAATCGGATGTGGGTCACTTCAGGCTGCAGTGTGAACGTAGCCTTAGTTACACAATGATTGTAATTAGACTAATAAAAATGAATAGTAACAACTTTATTTAGCTAAATAATGCCTATATTACACAAAATTGACTCTTGTCGATTTCTGTATTTTTCTGTACTTTTCTTCTAATCCTTTTCCACAAACTGCCACTTAACTGATGTCAAACTATCATCAATATTTACCACACGTACTATCCACCAAAACAAGTTTAAATGACTTGCTAAATATTGTGCTGTGTCTGATCTTTTGAGTGTTTGATTCATAAGACTTAAACTACTTAAGTGCAGACATGGTACTTGGTTCTCATTTTATTTCATTACATTACGTTCAGCTTCTGTGAATCGAATTGCTAATTGAAACAATCCAAAATGCTACTACATTTAGATGAATGCTTAAGCTGTATTTGCGCCAGCTTTCAAGAACAACAAAGAACCACTAAAGCCAGTTCTAAAAAAAGGGGAGTGTCACTATAGTGTCACTATAGAGTAGATTCAGACTTATAATTCCTGTATTACCGAAGTTGCCATAAATAAAAGATATATAATGCCCTCATTTAAAGATATACATGGAACTTTTTGGAGGGTACTGCCCTGTCTCCAGGGAGATGTCATTGCTTTGCCTACAATGTTCTACACCTACAGTATGACATTAAAGATTAAACACCAGAAGTGCACCTTTAGAACACATGGAGATACAGATGGACAACAACATGACATGTGTTCATTTTGACTGACACTAACTTGTAAATTTGATGTGCTAACTGTCAGTTGTATTTTATTGTGCGTGTGCTTCTCAGGTGGTGGCCAACGCGGTGGCGGCTCTGTCGGAGATCGCAGAGTCCCATCCCAACAGTAACCTGCTGGACCTAAACCCCCAGACCATCAACAAGCTGCTAACCGCCCTCAACGAGTGCACCGAGTGGGGCCAGATTTTCATCCTGGACTGTCTGGCCAATTACACTCCCCGAGACGACCGCGAGTCCCAGAGGTCAGTGCCCCATGTCTCTACTCCCTCTCAGTTATTCTGTTTAAATAGACTATTTTATTTTGTGGAATCTTATGTGTCTTTTACAAAGTTGATACTTGGCCCAGACTCACACCATATTGTAAATTACTACTATAAGTACTCTTTAGAGACCTATCATGCTAAAAAAATTTTTTTAAAATACTGGATACCTGGTTGGGCATATAAATTGAGGTTAAAAAAAATTACTCACTGATCATAGTTGGCCCAAAAAGTCTCATAACAGATCCATAATTTTGCTGTCATTTAAACCGATTGCTTTCCCCTGTAGCATCTGTGAGCGCGTGACTCCCCGGCTCTCCCACGCTAACTCGGCTGTGGTGCTGTCAGCTGTCAAAGTGCTGATGAAGTTCATGGAGATGTTGCCTAAAGACCTGGACTACTATGGGACCCTTCTGAAGAAGCTGGCCCCTCCTTTAGTCACTCTGCTGTCTGCGGAGCCCGAGCTGCAGTACGTGGCCCTCAGGAACATCAACCTCATCGTGCAGAGAAGGTGAGCCAACATGTAGGGATGGGCATGATTAGTCGATTAATCGATAATCGATCATTAAGAATTTCATCGATTACGTTCATTTTAATCGACAAACCGAATGTAGGTTGCTGTGCATAGTGTGACCAAAGAGGGGTCCAAAGAAATTCCACGCTTCTTATTCCGATTGGGACAAGTGTGAGTCCATGTGCACAGTGTACAAAGCAGCACATATGTTTCAGTGTCCAGTGGGAAAAACTTTGCCAGGTGAGAGTCGCTCAATGTCGATGACGAGTCCCCACCTCCCTCCCCCCATACGGTGTCCTGGTTTTGACAAACACAAATATGGTCACACTAACCTGTATTCCACTGAGTCATGTCTTTTAATCCGACAGAAGTTGAACTGCATCAGTGCACAAGAGTTGTATTTTTATCTTCCTTAGTTTATGCAAATTAGAGATGTGGTTTTAAGTTTCATTTCTGTGAGAGTTGTGCAAACTGAATTAAACACATTATAATCTCAAACGGGCTGATGTGGCTCTAGAGTGGTTACGGTTTATATGTTGTAAAGTTGAATTTATTAATGCAGATTAGTGCAGATAGTAATAATAATGATGATAATTTTAATTTAAAAATGTTAATGATTAATCGATCGTTAATTCTTCCGACTGTCGATTAAGAAAATTTCATCGAATGCCCATCCCTACTCCACAGGTTTCACAATGACCACACATTAGGGCAGTTGCCATATCGATTATTTGTATTCATACCATAGACTGTACATAGTTAACCCACTAGCCACCGCGTTCTAATTAGGAACTGAGCATGGGCGCGCTTTGGGCTCTATCGAGTTCACTTTCTACTGAAAAACACACAAAAAAACATCTGTAGCTGCTGCTGTCAAGACTCATCATTTTGGTCTTAAAGGGACAGTTCGGAATTTTGGACATAGAGCCTCATTTCTCAGTGAGCCAGAGTGTTGAAGACGTGTTTAGATACTTTTTAAATGTTCCATCCAGTCCTTGTATTTGCAGAGGTTGGTCGTGCTAGGCTAGTGCATGTCAATGGCCATAGTTCTCCTGCCACTAAAAACAGTCTTACCAACCTTGCATTTGAAGGATTTATGTTTGAGGAGCAACAGCGTGTTGTACGTCCTGATAGAAAGCTTGGCAGAGGCGGACTGATACATGAGAAAATAGTCCCTCAACATGCGATGATTCCTGAGATGCAAGGTTATTTTTATTTCAAACATTATTCTATCAACACACACATTTACATGGACAGTCTGGTGTAATAATAGATTTGTTTCAGGTGTTTTGTGGAGTGGTGTTTTTAGTGGCAGGAGAACTATGGCCATTGACATGCACTAGTCTAGCACCAGTGACCTCTGCAAATACAAGGACTAGATGGAATATTTTAAAAAGTGTCTCCACACATCTCCAACACTCTGGCTCACTAGGAAATGAGGCCCTATGTCCAAAATTCCGAACTGTCCCTTTAAAATGTTTGTATTAAAAAGTGCTACATGATCCTAGTGTTTTTATTTCTCCATTTTGTTCATAAATCCGTCTATGATTCATACACTACATCAGACCTGTAGCCACAGCCCATCTTGCAAATTTGGTTTAGACTTTGTTTTATTTGGTTAGTATTTATTCCTGGTTTTATTCTGACGTAGTTCTGGTTCCTGTTTTTTTTCCACAAATACCTAATACAGATCTAGTGTTATGCTAGGGATATGTTGTGTTAAAGAGGAGGTATTATGAGGGTATTAACTGCTAATACATAAAATATTTTAATCATCATGTTACCTTTATTACTTTGAAAATGCAGTTTTTCAGCTAAAACAGGCCCCAAGAGAGATCGCTAATTACTCATACATGCATGGATGAGATCTAATACCTCTTCAGGCATGTTTTTGATGACAGAACAAAATAACATGGTAGAAGGCTCCAAAAACGTATTATGTATTATACCCCCTCTTTAAAACATTTAGAATGTTTAGAACATTTAGTTGAATACCCCTGCTCTACACTATACTCCAATAAAGAATATGTTGTGTATTATATAGAGGTATAAGCTTTACTTCACCCATCCCATTTTCAAAGCATGCATGTTTATATCTGTGTCTGTCTGTATGTTATTATATGAATTCTACGTGCAGGTTTGAAATAATTAACTAATCGACTTGTGAAGCTCCTGAGCATGTACAACATAATGGAAAGCTGTAACCCAGTTCTTTTCATTTTTCATTTCATCGTCAAATATCTTTGAACTAAATGCGTAGCCCTTCTTATCTTATTCTTTTTGAAATAAAACTTAAACTTTGCGCTCTAATGTCGACTTGTGCTTAAAAAATACATTTAAGGATGCTGGTGATTTCATCTGAGGCCACGTGCTATATTTCACAAAAATACAGTCTGTACACAAACAATCCAGCAGAGGGTGCAAGAACTCTAGACACTGGAGTTAGAACGTTCACATCACATACACGCAATCACAGACTGTTTCTCGCAATCTCAGCTGTGATTGAAGGATTTGGAAAAACTAAAACTAATTGCATTTTTTCTGACCACCATTGCAATTCTGATTAGATTTGTGATTTATGTTTTAATAATACGATTCTGTTCAAAATTCTCATTTTAAACATGTGCAGAAGAATTGACAGAAAGACTGAAATCTGTATTGACGAACTCATACAAGAATTTGAGAACATGTTTGTAGAGATGTAAACCTACAGGGTTAGCAGTTTTTTATGCACAATAAGACCAGATGTTTATTTGTGAAGGAAAGTATGGTACTATGCAGCCTTTGCAATTTGCTAGTTGCTACCATTCAAATTGCCATTTTCATTTGATTTTGATTAATCTTGCAGCCCTAATCCCAAGGCCTGTAAAGCAATGATTCTATCTGAAATGTATGACTTCAAGATGGAGTGCAGAATGTAATAACTGAACCTGCTGTATTTTTTGTTTCAGACCAGAGATCCTGAAACATGAGATGAAGGTTTTCTTTGTCAAGTACAACGATCCCATATATGTGAAACTGGAGAAGCTGGACATCATGATTCGACTGGCCTCTCAGGCTAACATTGCTCAGGTCTTTTCTCATTAGTGTCTATAAACTACAAATCTCTTGCTTCGTCCTATATCAAGTGTGTGTGTGTTGCTGCTGCAGGTGCTGGCAGAGCTGAAGGAGTATGCCACTGAGGTCGACGTGGACTTTGTGCGAAAGGCAGTCCGAGCCATAGGCCGCTGTGCCATAAAAGTGGAGGTATGTACTCCCAATGTGTAGGGCTATGCACTTTTTCCTTGTACTTTTCTGTATTAATAGTTCTTTTTGGAGTCACATGCAGTTGCAGTATTTTAAATGTAGTTACATAGTCAGCTCAACGACTATTTTGAAAGCTTATGCTCTGGATGGAGGGCAGGCATCTATATAACTCTATGGGTATATATGGATTAAAGTTTTCCATCACTGACAGATTTCCGTCAGCCAAAGGCGCTCAAGGTCAATCATGAGATTGATGCAGATCCGACGAGAGGAGGGAATCAGAGGAGAGGGGAGGGGGAGGGGAGGGAGGGGAGGGGAGAGGGGGGTGCGGCGATGGCATAGGCATTTATTTTGCTTGAACCCTTTCTTGTGATATGTTTTTGTAGTATATGATTTAAAGCTTTGTTGTGCACTAAATAAATAAATGCCACGCTGCTTTAGTGTAGGCTACCAACACTATGAAACTATTTGGCTGTTAAACCCTTGCTCAAGAGTTTTCACCTTTATTTGTGGTGAGGCACATAATAACTGGCACTTGGTCACCAGCTCGCCCCGGTCGCCCTCGTCTTATTCACTTCTCCACACAGAGACCTGTACACTCCACAGGCTCATTGGAAAAGCATGTGCGCAGTCACTCACTCACACTACACATTACTCTATGCATGTAGGATTTTGGCTCCTATATCCTGATAACATGGGCCAAACAGTATATTGGTCGTGCCTTATTAAATATGACCTTCAAAGTGTACACTTTGAACTGACAGCTCACGTTTTCATAATATAGCATTATATATTCAATATTTAATGGTTCCAAACTTTTTAATCTGGAGAATGATGTCACATAGATGGTGGAACATCAACCACACACTGTTTCTTTGTATCTTTGTAGCCAAAATCAACCTGATGAAACAAATGTAAAATATGCTAATATTTGGCCTTTTGAAGTCCAATTTCCATAACATCTCATTTTGCGTCTGCCCTGTGCCCTGTGTGTGTGCAGCAATCAGCAGAGCGCTGTGTGAGCACGCTGCTGGACCTGATCCAGACCAAGGTCAACTACGTGGTGCAGGAGGCTATCGTGGTCATCAAGGACATCTTCCGCAAATATCCCAACAAGTAAGACGTGTGCTACGTGGCTACGCTAACGTCACAGTCACTGTTTCAGTTTGTGCTGTGTCATTCCACGTCCTGGCTCTACACTTCTCTAACACTAAGTGCACAGTCAGTCCAGGCGCCTTAATGAAGTTTATGCTAATGCTGTTCTGCAACCACTTTACATTTATAGAACAGAGGTGACAAGCTTGTTATTCACAACGAGTAATTATGTGATCTATGAGCTGTATTATACAGCCGTCTATGCTCCAAGAATCAACTGTCTGTTTACATTTAAACACATTTTTACAGCGAAAGGTTTAAAGGGCCCATATTAGGCTATTTTCTGATCTATGTTATAATGTCGTTTCCTCATCACAAACATACCGGGAACTGTTTTGTTTCAATCACACGTTTGCCAGGCAAACCCTGCAGAGTTTTTTCCCATCCTCTCAGAGTTTTTTTTTTTTTCACCCTGTGAAGTCATGTGGTAATACAGGAAGTGCTCCACTGTGTTTTTAAACTCCATACACTGTCACTATAATCATTTGGTTAATTTCTGCCCTGGAATTTCCCATCTCTACTGAACTAAAGTTCACAGGTAACGGTAGCTGTTGACTTGAAAACTACCACTACATGACATCACAAGGTGGAACAGAGCATTTTGAGCTTTGGAGATGACATGTATGAATGAAATAAAACACAAGTCAAATGTTTTTGATCAGATAACTCACTTATAACATGGCTAAAGGCTCACATCGGTCAGTTTAGGGTAATATAGAACCTTTTAATGTGTTGGATCACAAGGCCCAAAGTTAGTTACCATTAGTAATTCATTCATTATTAATAGAATTACATTTTTGACCATCTCTCAGGTATGAGAGTGTGATTGCCACCCTGTGTGAGAACCTGGACTCCCTGGATGAGCCGGAGGCCCGGGCAGCCATGATCTGGATCGTTGGCGAGTATGCAGAGAGGATCGACAATGCAGATGAGCTGCTGGAGAGCTTCCTCGAGGGCTTCCATGATGAGAGCACTCAGGTAGGACTAGCGCCACAGTCCTAATGACTGACACACCATGGGACTAGGATTGTACATGTTTACATCATGTGTTGTGCTCATTTGTGCCACAGGTGCAGTTACAGCTGCTGACGGGCATTGTCAAACTGTTCCTGAAGAAGCCCACAGAGACACAGGAGCTGGTGCAGCAGGTGCTCAGTCTGGCCACTCAGGTGAGTCAGGAGACGTCAGGTCCAGCATAGATCTAACAAAGTGCTATTGCAGTACATTTTGAAAAACAAAACAGTGCTGTTAGTATTTTGATGAATAATCTTGGTGGAAGTTTTTTCTTTTTTACTAAACAGAGCTATTAATTTAATTACATAATCAAATGACGTATTTGTTATGGTGTTCAACACACACTGACAGTACCATCCATTGTGGACAAATGGACCAAAATCATAACAATAACTCGGGACACAGAGATCTTGAAATTACAGGCGAATAAAAATATCGATGTTTAGTCAATAGTAGGGCTGACATGAGACAGAAGATGAGACTTTAAAATCATTTACAATAATCTAATCTAGTTAAGTCATTTTCACAAGGCCTATTTAAACACCTGTTTAAATCCCCACATGTATCACTACTTAGTTTTACAATATACTCAATATACAATATGTCACTTACACTCTTACACTATTCAAATGATTAGACTAAAACTGCCCCCCCTTCCCTCCCCCACTGCTGCCTGTTGTACATGCACATTGCAGAAGGACAATTCTTTCTTACTTTAAACTAAACTAAGTTATGGAGGAAGAAGGCCTAAATATCTCTTTGTGGATCTTTTTCAAACAAGGTTGTGTGGAAAACACTGCATGTTCCGCACTGTCTGTAGGTGAATTACAGTCACATATATTTCATTCTGTTTTTTTTCTATCTTATTGTACAAACTTGAGCGCTGATTGTCTGTGGTAATATTTGTCCTGTCACTACGAAATAAAAACTGGGACATAGTTTCAAGTGTTCTCTGTCAGAATATGTGTTCTACAAGTTGCAGTTTGGAGGTCTTTCAGCTACATCTGCTCAAAGATACGCAACTTTCCAGAGCTTGAGCGAGGCATGTAAACCTTTCATGCCCATGCCAAATTTAGAGACAGTGGATAAACTCTCGCAAGATGGTTTTTCCCATGTGCATGTTGTGGCGGTTTGAGCTCATGAGATCCCATCCCTCGTCAATAGTTAATAATCATAGGTTAAAGCTGACCAGAAATCAATAATAGTCATTCTTTGACAAAATAATCATTTTTCCCCCCTAAACGAAAAGCAGCTGTGGTGATGCTGTCCTGTTGTGCATGCAGGACTCCGATAACCCAGACCTGAGGGACCGAGGCTACATCTACTGGCGACTGCTGTCCACAGATCCAGTGGCTGCTAAAGAGGTGGTGCTGGCAGAGAAGCCCCTGATTTCTGAGGAGACTGACCTGATCGAGCCCACCCTGCTGGAGGAGCTCATCTGCCACATCGGCACCCTGGCCTCTGTCTACCACAAGCCCCCCAGTGCCTTCGTGGAGGGCAGCCGCGGAGTGCAGCACAAGAGGCTCCCGGGCAGCGCTGGCTCGTGAGTAACTGCTATGTTCTGCTCCTACACTATATGGACTATTGATATTTTTCAGCGATATCACTCTGGGGGTGTTCTACATGTATATGTATAGCAGAATATTCAGCTGATACCATAGTAACAGCTATGCAAACACTGCCAAAGTGTCTTAAGAAACTCTGAAAACTCAAGAAAAATACAAAATTGATTTAAACAGCACATTTTCAGGAGCCTGCATTCAATCTGAGTGTTAGGAGTCAGATTTTACACACAAAGCTGAGAGTAACTGAAAAACTGTTGGCTAATGCTAACTAGCTTATGTTATTTGAGAGGGACATGTTTAACAGAAAAAAATAATTTTATCTGTTTAAGTTCCAACTAAATCAGCTATTTCTGATCAGACTGTGTTAAAATAAAGATCAGATTAAAGTCTAACAAAACCTCAGACAGTGCATGCCTACAGTGAACATCACATCACCAGGGAATTTTGATGGCATCATTTGTAAAGTATAAGTATTCTGTGCAGTGGCGGTCCTATACTGATTTACTCCTGCGCAATCGATTTTTTAAAAATTATTTCTTTATTTTTTATAAACGCTCATGCTGCCCCCCACAAAATGTCACCACGGGCAGCTGCCCTTGAAAACAATACATAAAGTCTGTCCAAACTTTTGGCTGGTAGTGTAGTAGAGCTTATCTGTCAACACACATTCAAAATAGAGAGTCATCATATTTCATTTCCATTCATGTATAAAAACTATATGGGTCTGGTCAAGTGGTAACGGAGGGAAACGGGGGCAGATTTTTGACATTCAAATGTCTCTTATTCAGAAACTAGAGGGACTATTGAAATAAGTAAAGTAACAGAATGTAGGAAAGAGTTACACTCCAACAGGGTCAAGTTAAACCTGTGATATTCTTTCAAGTTGTTGACAAAAAATTTAAAAATTCATGTCGGTAACGGAGGGAATGAAATATGCAGCACTTTTTGGGCAATAAATCCAAACAGTGATAACTCTTGGTTCTCACTTACATATCCTTAACAAACTGGTTTGAATATTTGCTTCATATAGTTTTCTACCATATGGTACAAGATTAGGTTGAAAAACCTCTTACTTTTTGACTCATGAGATTTTTTATTAAGAAAGGTCATGGTAACGGAGGGAAAAGTAACAGAGGGAAAATCGTAAAAGGTAGAAGGTGCATGATTTTGCATCATTTGTCGCTTTTTTCTTCCGAATACTTTAATATTACTTCAAAATGAAAGGAAACTATTTCTATAAAATATGTCAGTCCTTCCAAGCAAATTTTTATCATTTTAAATACTTTTTTTTTTTTTTTAAATCATGTACCTTCATCAACAGTTCAAAGATGGAATAACACAAGATATGATGAAATACATCCATTTATTTACATGATTTGCAGGTCTTTGAAATTTGGGAAATAATTTTTGTTCCATGTTTCATACATGGTCTGTTTAAAACGTATAGAACCAAAAATGGTACAGAAAAAAGGTCAACAGTTTCATAAACTAGAGTACATATGTATCTGTTGAATACATTTTTATATCAGATGCATTAACTTGAATTTTTGGCCTTGCTGTTTACTTCTGCTTGACCGGGTCCATATTTGTTTATGTTTACTTTGATTAAACCTTAAACATGGGTTTATCGACATGAGTTTTATATATATTTCTGAGTTGTTGTCTCCTGTTGTATGCTGCTCAGTGGAGAGAGTGTGGAGAGCCCAGAGCCAGCCTCTGCAGCTGTCCCTGAGGCTACGCCCTCTGTTATCCCCTCACAAGAAGACCTCCTGGGGGACCTACTGAACCTGGACCTAACCCCACCTACCACCACTGGCCCCCCACCCCCCTCCTCTGGCCTGCAGATGGGAGCCATGGACCTGCTGGGCGGAGGTCTCGACAGCCTGGTATGTCTCACACGCACTGGGACTGAACCTCTGGGACTACAGGGTCACACTAGCCTCTTCTTATGTGCTCTTTTCTCTGACCTTCTTCTCTGCTCTGTTCACTGCTGCTGCTGCTGCAGATGGGGGATGATGCTGAGCCGGTAACTACATGAGGCCATAGCGTAGACTGTGTCTGACACCAGCACATGTACTGTAGTATTCTGCACTGTTGCAGAAGGTGTTAGCTCAGGAATCCTGATAAGATGTCGTGTAGCTTTTAATGGCTTTCAGCTGATTTAAAGGGGCACTAAACGATTCTACCCACAACCACAAATAGAGAGAGAGTGAGAGAGTGTGAGCAGGAGAAAAGGGGGGGGTTGGACATATGAGGAACAGTGTGATTATGAGGTTTGTAATCAGAAAGACCTGGCTGTGATTCAGGAAGTCATGAGTGATGTCATGTTGTACTTAAAATTACAGTGGTCACTGGAAGTAGGATTTTTTTTTTTTTAGACATACCTAGTTTGCACTAAAATTGCCAAAAGAGACCTGGAACTGTTGCAAAAAAAAAAGATTTAGTGTTAAGTTAGTTAGTTAACTGTATTAGACAAACTTGTCCCCTCCAGTGCCATCTAAACCCTTATCTACTGGATGATTAAGGAGGTCAGATGGTAGAGGTAGTCACACGTGATGTAAGGACAGGAGTGGACATGTGTTCACTATAGTTCCAGACTACTCAGTTCACAGTAGGAGAGCAGGCCTGGTTCCAGACACAGCCTCCACATCTCATCACCATTGACCATTGTTCCATTCTAAGTGCATGACCTGAGGCTGTGTTTTCTCTCAGCATCACATGAACATACGTGCGGAAACTCCACAGTCTCCTCAGCTCTCACAGCAGTCCCCCTCTCCCCCCGACTACAGCCCCACTCAGGTTTGTCTGGAGAGGCCAGTCCAGTACAGGATAGTCTCCCAGTTACCCAGTCCTGTGTCCTCTCAGTGTCCTTTTGCACTTTAGCTTCCTGGACTAGTCACATGGACCCTGAGTAGCTCCGTTAGGTTAAGTGTACCTTTTCCTGACCACAAAATGAAAGATTCCTTGTCAATGTAGAATAAACTTGAAGAGCTATGCCACATTTAAAGAGGCACAATGCAACTTTTCGGGCACGCCACTTGCTTGTCTTCATGAAGACGTTACAAACTGTGCCTGGAATGTTCCATAGTACTGCTTTAAACTTATCACTTACTCTCAATATACACCTGGGCATAGGGAGTTTATTTTGAACCAGACTTTTCCTCTGCATCCTCAGCTGAAAAGCCTGGAGAAGCTTCACTGAACCAAAAGATGAAAACTCCAACCTAATCTGAGTAAACACCCGTTGGACACATATGTGACACTGGTGGTGTAGATTGTCCAGCTGGTTGATGAAATTAGAAAAGTGATAACTGCCCTATGCTGCGCTTGTGCACTGTTACTGCTTTGGGATAAATTTGGGGTTACATTTATTCAACTATGGGTTTTTGCAAAAAAAAACAAAAAAAGAAAGAAACAACAACAACAACTTGAAAGCATGCATTTTTACTGTGAGAGAGGTCGCCTCTCCACAGAACTAACCTGGGTATAATTCCATACTGTGGAACATTCTAGGCAAAGCATAACCTCTATGAAGAAACACAGCTCACTGATCCTCCTTACCTTTTTAAATAATGCCTCCTTGCACAGATTTAAAAGCTAGAAACTTGACCCTAGATTTGTTTTTGCACTGAATTTGTTGGGGGATAAAACGATTTATAGACGTAAACCTCACCACATCATAGCTGTCATTGAGCCCTCTGGACCACCCTTCACTCCACCATCGTTCATCATGTCTAACCCATGATAGCCCTTCTTGACTCTTGTGTCTTTCTCTGTGCAGCTTGGTGGAGATCTTGGGGGAAATCCTGCTGTAAGTCATTTTAAAATCATTTGTCTATCGATAGGGATGGGACGAGAACTTGTGCCACGAGATGGCAAGATCAAACTGCCATGAGACTATGTGCACGCGGGAAAAATTAGATTTTATCCTACGTCTTTACATTTGGCATGGGCATGAAAGGTTTACAAGCTCCAGAAAATTGTGTAACTTTGAGCAGCTGTAGCTAAAGGACTCTTCTACACAGAGACTTGCCCAGAGAGTTCACATATAGAGACAGAGAACATTTTAAACTATGTCCCAGTTTATATTTCGTAGTGATAGGACCAATATTGACGCAGTGTCCCGTATCCGTCCCGTATCCGTCCCGTATCCGTCCCGTATCCGTCCCGTATCCGTCCCGTATCCGTCCCGTATCCGTCCCGTATCCTTCCCGTATCCGTCCCGTATCCGTCCCATATCTGTCCCGTATCCGTATGGAGCAGCAGATGTGTGGGGGGGGGAGCTCGAGCAACAGAGAGGACAGAGCAGCAGGTCCAGTTTTGACCTAATCGTTTAAATAATCAAAATGAAGTGTAATAGACACATTGTATATTGAGTATATTGTAATAAACTGTAGTGATGCATGTGGGGGTTTACACAAGTGTTTAAATAGACCTATGTGTTTAACTTACAATGTTTCTAGGCTATTAAAAGCAGATGATGAAAATGACTTAATTTAGTGATTTTTATAACTAGATCAGATTATTATAAATTATTTCAAAATCTCGTCTTGTCTCGTTCTTGCGGACTCTCTCATGTCTCATCTCGTGAAAATTCTGTCTTGTCCCACCCCTATCTATTGGTATTGTAGGTCTGTAGCTGTTGAGGCATTCAGGCGATTAGGTTGGATCTTAGTTGACCAAAATTTATATTAGTCAGTTATTCTGTGTAGATTGCAGGTATTTTTATGGGACAACAGATTTTGGTATTTCTATGTATAAAAGCAGATTAAGCGCATGATTCACTCAAGTTGAATCTGTCTTTATATTAATACTTTTTTTTTTCTCCATAAGTAGTAGTTTTTGCATAAACTTTCCCTGTAGGTGTAGTCTTGTGAGTCAGATAAACAGAGATATGTAATAGTTTTGGGAGCTTTTGACACGCCCCCTTTTAGTCGATTAATGGTTTGGCAGCATGTCAACTACAGCTCTACAATACTTACTCATTTGGGTGATACTAAAACTTGCTTGCGTGTTGCCATCTCACTCATCCTCCTCCTTTCACTTTTCTCAGATGGGAGCAGGGTTTGGGGCCCCTCCCTCATCGATGCCCCAGTCCTTCCCCGCCCCTGCCAGCAGAGGGTTGGATGACCTGTTCGATCTTAGTGGAGGGGTCGGCATGCCAACAGGAGCCTACTGTCCACCCAAAACGGTAAGTGTTGATCAAGTTCTAAAACTAATGTGATCTTTATAAGTAGACACTACCTCATGATTTGACTTGGGATTTACAATATATAATATTTTTTTCTCTCATTTATCAACATTGGTCTTATATTGAAAAAACATCCTGATATAGCACTAAGGGTGGGCGATATCTCGATATTTTAAATATATTGAGATATTTTTTAAACTCGATATGAATTCTGACATATCGTATATATCGATATAATGCTTATATTCAATTCTAATTTCGCCGCTTTGCTTGTTTTCTTTGTCGCCACCTGTGCGCCCCCACCTCCCTGATTTTGTTCGCTCGTGTTTCATTCACTTCTCACTACCGCCGTGAATGCGAAAGTTAGTGCCAGTAAAAAGCTTCTAGCGTCATGAAACTTTTCCACCATTTACAGACAAGGCCATCAGCAGCACATCTCATATTCCACCAGGTCGTGTCCTTTAGTCCAAAAGAAGTTGAACTGCATGAGTGGCACGTGGAGTGCTTTGTTTATGCAAATTAGCCATGCGCTTTTTAAGTTTCGTTTCTGTAAAAAGTAAACAGGTCTGCTCAAAGCTGCAAAAAAAAACAAAAAAACACAATCTTAAACGGGCTGATATGGCTCTAGAGTCGTGATCTGCAGTGGATTGTGGAAAACCTCAGAGCTCCTTACCGCGGGATAGGAACATGGATAGGTTGAAATAAGGAACATCCTGAACTTCCTCTGCTAAAGGAGCTCGTGGTTCTGGTTCTGGTCTGGATAACAGAGTTAATACAAAGATGACCTTGTGTTGAGTTGTTTTATTTATGAATGAAAAGAAGGAAATATGTATTACTTCTTTTATTTTACAGTTAAATTATTATTTATGTAATTAGGGTTTTTTGTAATCTTAAATGTTCCTATATGAACTGCCAACCCCTTACACTTTAATTTTTAAAAAAAGGACCTTGTGGAATTTGGCATATTTGTTTTTGCAGTTTTCAGTTTTAGGGAGTTATTTTTTCCTGTACAGATATCGAGATATATATCGTATATCAAGATATAGCAAAATATATCGAGATATATTTTTTGATCCATATCGCCCAGCCCTATGTAGCACCAATATTTTTAAGCTTCCCTCACTCTGTATGTGCCCATGTTATTGTCATACTAGTGAGTTACAATGGAAATACAAGGTTCATTATAAAAATATGTCAATGCATTCATGTGGGATATTATATAATTTGTTAATCTTAGTTAATGTGTGAAGTTTACTTACTAAATGTGTTTTTTTGGCCACAACAGCAACACATATATTACATGTAAGTGTTGGTAAAAAATAAAAAGAAACATATGGCCATTCCTAAAGTAACAAAAAATAAATAATGCCTTAAAATATATGTGTCAATATTAGTCCCAGTGTAATGCCTTAACTTATGAAACTTGGTGTTTCTGTCTCAGGTCTGGCTTCCTGCGATGAAGGGCAAAGGTTTGGAGATCTCTGGGACGTTCGCCCGCAGGTCTGGGGTCATCCAGATGGAGATGACTCTGACCAACAAGGCTATGTCCGTCATGACTGACTTCGCCATCCAGTTCAACAGAAACAGGTCAGTCCACCAGTGTTCTTGTTAGGACCATCTGAACCCACATGTTTCTATGGAAGCAAAGAAAAACTAGATTGTACTTTCCATCAAAGCAATGTTCGATTGATCCTCAGTCAAACCTTATACATTCACTGTTGTTCAGATCTGCCAACAGCACCTCAAACCGATCCCATTAAAGTCGATGTGGATATAATTTAGTTACATGCTAACATCCGACATTCATTCTTGTGCATATCACATTATTTATGTTATGATAATAATTATGTAGCTTTTCTGGTAGGCCCTTGGCTACTTGCCAGCAAACCTGAGATGTTTTTGCTTTACCTCAAATCTTCTACAGTATGGCATAAAACTTACTGTGAGCACGGTCGATCCTGTAACTTGACCTGTTGGCTCCACCTGCTTTTCTCAGTGGTAATTGATCTGTTGATCTATTGATAACATTCTAGAAAAAGCAATCACATCCCCATGGAGTTGAGCTAGTAGTGGACCAGCATGTTACATAGTGCATGTTAAAGGTTTAACTGTAAGTGTTGATATGCTACTGGAACACTGATGATGATGATGTGTCCTCCAGCTTCGGCCTGGCTCCTGCAGGTCCTCTCCAGGTGCTGACTCCTCTGAGCCCAAATCAGAGCATCGAGGTGGCCCTCCCGCTCAACACTCTGGGCCCCGTCATGAAGATGGAGCCTCTCAACAACCTGCAGGTAATACACACATCTGTTACACTGGGCTGTATGGACATAATGTGTATGCTTTCACTTACACTGCAGCGTGGGTACAGCTACTATAGAATACTGTATACACTGCACACCAAGGTTTCAGGCCTATTTTCAGCTGTCTGCAGAAGGCTCTGTAAGGTTTTTATTTATCTACTTGTCTGTAATAAAAGAGTGATTTCGGAGTGGTGCAGAAAAGCACTCTCCTTTTCACACTGCCAAAGGAACATTTCCATCAGTCTCAATCAGACCTATTGAATATCATTTGAACATGTACAATAAATCATCACAAAACCAGGTGAGCACCAGAGGCTCTGGAGGTACTAAAGGCCTGTTGAGAGGCTGCTGCAGTGACATTTTGATCAGGTCATACTGCCGTTGTGTCCCTGAGCTGCACACCAGGCTGTGTTTATATGTGATTGTGTTGTGTGTGTAATTAGGTTCATGTTGTAACATTGTAAGTGGCCTGATGGCAGTAGCTTAACGGCAACAGCCCAGTACTCCAGAGGTTGGTCATTCAAGCCGGCATATGTGTATATGTGTACATGTACACATATACTGCAAATGCAGGGAAAAGAATGACTAAATCAGTTTATTAACATACACTGTCTCAACCAAAAATTACTTTAGTTCTAATATAGATGGAGGACAGCTCCTAAATCTATAGCAGAATTTACAATATTATAGAATTTTCTAGTTTGTGGATATTCGCTCCCCCTGGCCCCAGGCTGTGATCCTGTGCGTGCGTGTGCGTGCGTGCGTGTGTGTGTGTGTGTGCGCGTGTGCGTGCGTGTGCGTGCGTGTGTGTGTGTGTGTGTGTGCGCGTGTGCGTGCGTATGCGTGCGTGTGTGTGTGTGTGTGTGTGTGTGCGCGTGTGTGTGTGTGTGTGTGTGTGCGTGCGTGTGTGCGTGTGTGTTGGTGCCTGTTGGGTGCAGTGAGTCTGGGGGGATTAGATGTGTTTGAGTCACAGCTCAGAGCACATGTGTACAGAGGAGATAAGAGTCACAGAGGAGCAGAGACACTGCTCTGTCTTCTGCTCTCTGTCACTGTAAATTGAGATTTATACATTATCAGTCTTTAATCTGACTGGTCAACTTCTAAAGTGCTTTGATACCACGTTATAAAGCTGCTAGGTGTAAACTGATGATAAATTCAAAATGGTGACTTATTCTGAGATATTTTTTTTGTCTTATTCCTCGCCCCTTTCACAAATCAATCTTTTAACATCCAGGACAGTTACACAATCAGTCAAAGTAGCACCTCCAAAGCACAAAAAGCTCGTCATTCACGCCAAATGCATTTCTACAAACCACCAAGCTACATTTTTCTCCATTTGACCTGTAAAGCCTCCTGTCCCTGTGTCACCTGTGTGTGCTGCAGTCAGAGGTGGTGTCCTGGTGAATAATGTAGAGGCCCAGCTGGCAGCCTCAGCCCAGAGCCTGTCCTTTTACTCAGCACTTTGTGCACTCCTCATCCTCAGGCCTGTGATCCAGCTCTGCAGCCCTCTCATCCTCACATGAAAGACCACCAAAAATATCACACATTTTACCCTGGCATCTGCTCCGACCACTGCACTTTATTTTAGGCTATAGTAGAAGTATTTATATCGTTTTATGAAGCTGATTCGATGACATTTTAAAAGAAGAAAACATGAATAAGAATTGGTGCACTTTTGGTGTTTTTGTCTCATTGTCTGTTGGGATGGAATGATGTTTGATGTCTTATTTTGATTTTTCAGATGAACAGTGTGATTATGCAGGGCAAGATTTGTCGTATATGTTTTAAAATTGGGAGTCAGTTCACATTCATAATTCATATTTTTTTGTATCCAAGCATTTAAAATAAAAAATATATCATTTGACAAAAGACTGAAATACAAAATGCTAAACTGGATAAAACATTCTCTTGCATTGCTGAACGTGTTTGTCTAAATTAGAGGGTGAGAACAAACCTTTGCACTGGAATTGGTTAATATCGGGTGTTGGCAGATGCTTAAAAATATAATATCAATCGTATTGGAACTGAAAAAGCTGTATCAGTGCATCTCTATTTTAAAATTTTAAAGCTTTAACATTAGTAAGAACTTGTGATGAAAATGGGTGAAGTCAGTGTCCCTATCTCCTGCTTAAGTGCAGATGAGCTCCTCTGAGGTGTTACGGCTCTTCTGAACACATCCTGTCTGTGGGTGAATGTCTCAAAGCACATGTCATTACTATAAGTTATGCAGTGTCAGACGCCCGCTGTCCTCCTGTGCTCCACATGCTTGTGTGTTCAAACAGGTCCATAAAGTGTCTGTAGATTGTAGTGGTGTTCTGGTGTGAAAATGTGCAAAAAACAGACCCTTCACACAGCACCCTGCTCCTGAAGGGCACTCCACAGGTAATTACTCATGTTTCTGTGTTCTCTCTCCTTCTCCCCCTCTCCCTCTCTCCCTCTCTCTCCCCCTCTCCCCTCTCCTATCTTATTGCTCGACAGGTGGCTGTAAAGAACAACATTGACGTGTTCTACTTCAGCTGCCAGTACCCCATGAGCGTTCTTTTCAGCGAGGACGGGAAGATGGGTAAGTGCGTGCGCCTCCTTCACTGTGAATAGACTCCAGAGCTGACGCACGCTCCAGGCCGGGGACGTCAGGATGTGCCCCGCGCGCTGCAATCAAGAGCCTCTGTGTCCTCCTCATCCTCACAGCAGCTCCAAGTGCACACACACACACACACACACACACACATACAGACACAGCTTTTACTCCGGCTACATGCTCAGGAGGAGCTCATATGGCAGAATAAACAGAAAGCACTAGTCATGAACAGGTTACTGCTTATGGCATTTACTTCAGATAAGACACTTGTAATGAGCTTTTATTACTGCCACAATATCACAAAAATAATCACATTAACTCACTCAGATTTCTTGATTAAAAAATGCAGATAAATGCTATAGAACTCTAGATGTAGTATGTATGTAAATGCAAGCCTGTTGAATTGTTTAAACGTGTTGATGTAAGTTTGATATTTTCACTGTTCTGCACTCCTGTTACGTTTTATGAATGCACATATATATATTTGTATGATTCCATCCACAGAGAGTAAAGTGTTCCTGGTCACATGGAAAGACATCCCTAATGACAATGAGACCCAGTTCCAGATTAAAGACTGCCACCTAAACTCAGGTATGAACACATGCACACGCTCACTCACACATGCACACTCACACACTCACATACACTCACACAAAAAAGCACATGACTGTGCTTGTCAGAGGTGTAGTGGTTGAGAATGTTGCACATATATATATATATTTTTACCACCTCAGCGTTTGCCAAATGTCTTGTTCTAGTTCCAAAAAGATTTGTTCTCAAGTCGATGATCAGATCAAAAAGCAGAATAAGCTTCTCACTTTGGACTGACAAATCATATTACTAACCCAGTTTGCAAAAAATCCTATTTTTTACAACTATTGCGTTCTAAAATAATTCTGACCAAAATGTCGCTTTTGATTCTCAGTCCTTGTTGTAAGTGTGTGTGTGAACTGTGTGAACAGATGCAGCCTCTAACAAGCTCCAGGGCAGTAATGTGTTCACCATCGCCAAGAGGACAGTAGATGGCCAGGACATGCTGTACCAGTCCCTCAAACTCACCAACGGCATCTGGGTCCTGGCCGAGCTCAAGGTGCAGACAGGAAACCCCACTTTTACAGTGAGTATCTCCTGCTCTCATATACTTCAGGCTGTAAAGGGGAGTGTTTTTAACAAACCTTTAGAGCTTTAGAGCATTGTCCCAAAATGATTCTTTTATAAGAAACCTGCCTACAGTTGTGTTGTTTCAGTCAAATATTTGAGTAATCGCTGCTCTCTGTCTCGCTGGGAGCTGATAATGCTTTGCTTCTGCTTCTTACTCCATAACGTCCTGTAGTAGGAGGCTCAATTGGATCTGGAAGTATCCACATCCATATACACATTTTTTTTCACAATTTTAAAACATACACATTTTTGAACAAGTTGAACTCTTTTTGTGTGTTATGACATTCCTATATCAGGTCAGACAAAGATGAATGTACCATGGAGACAGTATATAGGACACAACAGAACTTCAGGTGGATCACTTACAGGAGGAGTGCTGCTCTGAGGTCTCAAGTGTTCAGATTTTCATCATTCTGGACACAGTGAAACTGTATCACAGCCTCATTTTCCAACCTATTCCTCCTATTGGTCCTCCACTCATGCCTTCTTACCAATCACAGAAGTGGGAACTCTCAAAGATGCAGATGGCAATATAATTATAATGTGTGCATGAAACACAATTAAATCAAAAGTGTAACCAACCAAGACAAATGTGGACCTTCAGAAGCTTTGGTCTGGACCCCAAAGCTTTATAGGGCTCATTAATGAACTGCCATGATTATTTAATCACACCATGAGTTAATGCTGTTAAGCTGACAGTGATTTGTTCGAGCCAGTATGAGAAGCTCTTTCTATCTTATCACATGAAAATAAGCAGGGTCGGTTTCCAATCTGTGCAAATTGGTCCAGTAATCATTTTAAAACGAGTGCTGTTAAATAATTCAATATGCACACACAGATATTAGCCATCGATCAGCAGCAATGCACACACTGCCCTGATGTCAGGCTCAGTTGTATCTGAACACATTAGAAATGAGGCAGACACTCCCTAAAACCTCTGAGACTGCTATTCTCTTGTGTGACAGAGAAGAGAACAGAACTGTGATGGGGGAGAGGAGAACACTGGAGAGTAGCCATGTGACAATCAGTACTATATACTGATACTATATATTGATACCAGCTCTTCTTATTGATGTTATCAATACGGCACTTAAAGAATAAAAATGTTTTGGTGTTAAGTCCCACTTATACTGTTGCGTGTGGTGGTTCTGTGTAGCCCCTAACCCTAACCTGTGCTCTGTGCACAGCCTTCATACAAATGTGCCGTGTCAGACTGCACTGGCCTGTTGGCTCATTAGCCTGTCCTCCTGTCAGCCCCTATCCTCCTGACCTTGGCTCCTTCTCTGCCTCTTCCCTCCTCCCTGGTCGCTCTCACATCACATCCCCTCACAAGGTGCCATTACCTGTCTCTGTTTGCTCCTGTCTAGACTACACCAGATCAGACATTTTAAGGAATGTAAAATTCCGTTGAAATGAAAAGGCTCAGGTCTGGCAACTCTGCTTTATTCTGCTGCGGGTTGTGCAGGATTTGAGCTTTTACGGATTTTCAAATTTATCATGATAAGAGATATGTTTAGAAGGATAATATTTTTTATTTATTTTTATTTGTATTTATTTAATTTATTTTGAGACAGGGACAGCGCACAATTTCACATCAATGTCGACAGGAGAGATGCATTGTACATCAGGTTGTAGCATCAGTGCTAATTTCCACCTGTCGTCCCTGGGCAGATTGATTGATTGATTGTATTTAACTGACCTTGACTATCAACTGTTCTTGGAGACCTGTAGCATGTTTTGGGTTGATAATATGGTTATAATAAATAATAATAATGATGGATCAGTTTTGTATAGCACCTTTTTGGGCACTCAAAGACGCTTTACACCATTATACATTTACTCCACACTCACAGGTGATCAGCTGTGATTGTGGCCACAGCTGCACCGGGGCAGACTGATGGAAGCAAGACTCATGCACACACCACTTTAATACTAGGCAATGTGGATTAAGTGCCTTGCCTAAGGACACTACAACAGTTTTTGCCACTGGGGCCCCACTGCAGTTTCCCATCCAAGTGCTAACCAGAGCCAGAACTGCTTAGCTTCATGCATCCTGTTTATATCATGCTGCTGTTTGAGTAATCGTGCATTATTAGTCTGTCTATATCTCCAAATGCTCTGCTTCAGATATCATGATGTGGGTGATAGTTTTTAAGATAACAGCTACCATTTATCTTTTAATTCAGTAGAGTTTGGTCATTCCAGGGCTAATTATCCAAATCCAAATGATTCAAGTGAAGGTGTATGGAGTTTAAACAGTGGTGGAGCACGTACTGTATTAACACATGACATCACAAGATGGAACAGTGGTTTCCGTTTGAGTGAAGTTTTCAGCCTAAATATGCAGAGTTTGTGTGTTAAACGTGTGAAAACACAATTTCAAGTCTATTTTTGCCGATGAAACAACATTATATTATTTTATTATATTAGGTCAGAAAATTGCATAATAGTTGTTTAAAAAAGAAAAAAGCAATAAGCCTAAACTTACACTGTGACTTAGTGTCAGTTTCTTGTTTTGAGCTAATTTAGGAATCCCTTGTCAACTACATAAACATGATTAGATTGTGTAAATGAGATCCTCTCTCTCTAGTAGAACCATATGGTGTAGGTGTCTCTGCTTTGTTTGACACTCCACTTGGCCATGTTCTTATTAAATGAGAACAATAGGAAGGCTTTGTAAAGAGAAGTGGTCAGTGAATAGAAGTATTCTGACATGGACAAGCACAAAAGAAATTTAGGTGGGACCTGCTGTCTTGGTAATCCAAATATTCTTAAGAGGTTATGATTGTGTCGTGACCAGTTCAATTAGCCTAATGTTAAACCAACGGATATTAAGATGCAGATGAAGATATTAACACTAAACTTAGTGATGACTCAACAGTATTCTAACTCCATAGAGTGATGGATGTATTAGCATCTTACATCTTATCAGGTTGTTTTATGGCTCTTTTATGTCTGATAGTGCTCAGTTTTTGACATTGCATTTCTGGGATATATTTTGTGTTAACCCTTTAGTTTATGGTGCATTCCAGGTAACTGGTAACTGGGAATTCTCCGACTTGAAAGATTGCTCTGGAAAACTGCCTACGCTGGTAATTCCCACTGGGAAGTGATGGGAGGACTCTAAACTTTGATGCTTTACAGCAATGTAATCACCACAAAAGATTTGAGGTTAACCTGCACATAAACAATGTAAACACTTTATACAGGTGAGGTCTGACCATTTTCTGTTGCTTCACATGTTACTTTACACGTTCATGTGATGTTTTAATAACTTAATTGAGGTGGAACACTGAAGTAAACACTTGTAATGTTCTCCTGGGACATGTCTAACCTCCTTGCGTGGAACACAGCATTAGTCTAGCATTAGTCTACATTGACTTTTTTCATAGTTAAGCTGTTCACATTAGTGTTACAATACTACCTCAGTTCTAATACTCGACTCATTGCAGATTTCAATATTAATATATACTTGAATTGTACTTTTTACCATGTGGCCTGTACTAGTTCTAACAAAGATCAAGATCATTCTAAAACTATTCAACAAAGGTTCAACATTGTCCTATTTAAATGCGCTTTTTCAAGATCAGTACTTGTTGAAATCATTATAGATTTAGTATTATTGATTGGTCTCTGGTATGGATTCATATTTATATTCATATTCATATACTGAGGTGTGTTGAGCCTGAGCCAGCTGCTGTGCTCTTGGGTCACTAATGCATCTCCAGCCCTGTGAGAAGAGACACTACAGCCGCCTCTAATATCACGCTCTGTCCTCCGCTCACCCCCCACACCACTCACTGCTAATGTTACTCACGGCCATTAGTCAGGACTAATCAAAAGGCTGTAAACAACAACAAGTGCCTGTACTAAAGTGTAATCCATCCATCACTGTTATGTCACATTCACAACAGCCCGGCACTATGGTTCAGCACGAGGTTTAGTTTAAGGCTGCAGTCGACCAAAGAAATCCTTAGTTGACATAAGACATGTGCTGCCTCAGTTAGTCGACTAAAAAAAACAAAAAACAATTATGTACCTCTGTGTATCTGACCCAAACTACACTCACAAGACTACACCTGCTGGGGGAGTTCATGCAAAAACTACTATTTATGCAGAAAAAAGCACTAGGAAAAATGTGTGACTTTAATTTGCTATTTGTTACAGATAAATACCCAAAAATACCAAATCTTCAGCTCACTCACCTCTCCTTGCTTTTGTCTCACAGAAATCCTTATCATCTAAATAAGATGACTTTTGACCAATGAATGGACTAAAATACTAAAGGCCTTCTGCCCTCGCTTAGTTGATCCAGTTGTATCCCTGTCTAACAGTAGGTCACCAACTAATTGCTAACCTCCGTTTTGCATTGTACATGGAGATCCACATACTAATCATACACCACGATCATGAAGTGCCTTTTATTAAAGCACAATACTTGTTTCTGTGAGCTCCTTCAGGTGCTACTTGATTGTTCAGTTTATTCACTTTTCTTGTAATCTCTTGTTTAGAACTGCAGTGAAAATGATGTAGTTCACTTTTAGATCTGGTTTAGCACAAAATTAGACCTGGAATAGTGTGTCATAGACTTGATTTAGATCTGGTGGTGCCTGGAAAGCCAAACCTTGACTGGTACTTGAGAACTACGGGTGTATGACATCAATTCTACAGCAGTTCTGTAGGCTCTTGGATATGGTCTCTGTTCTTCTGCAGGGGACAAGACCGAAAATTGATGTCTTTATATTCACAGTAAACATTCAGAATAGGAAGAGGGTCTTCTGATCCGAGTCAAAAAGGCAAACATTTAAAATATACATATATTTTTTTTGTTTAAAGCTGACACATTCTGCAAAATGTCTTTTCAGAGCTTTTAACCATGTAGTAGTAGTTTCTTTCTCATTGACCCTCTGAAGTTGTATTTGGAGAGATTTGTGCATGTTTGAATTTCTTTATTATTCAAAATAATAAAGAAATTTATTAAAAATGTCATTGCTCCAATCTATCCCCGTTTTTACACCCACTGCTCTTTATTCACTTTGTTCTATAATGTTATGTTCTTAATCTGTGACACTGTGGTGTGCAGCTGCTCGTCAGAAGTGCACATATCTGCACGGCTTTTTGTTGTGATGTTTAGGCTGAGGTAAAAGCCCACAATTTTATTTTATTTTTTATTTTTTTTCCAGACACAAGCACAATGTCCTGTTAAACCTGGGCTTTTTTTGCTGTGAGCCTTATACATGAACCTCCTTGACACCATTTCACCAAATATAATTGAAAACTGCTCTTTTTATCCACATATTCTAACACAAATGTCACTATACTGTATAGATGCACATTATTTACTTAGTTCTGCTAATCTGATGTGAAAGGATTCAGGCCACTGTTTTGAAATGGAGCAGCTTGTTCTCTCTGGCCCTCTCATGTCCCCATGGTAACCATGTGATCATAATTATTAATATAAAGCTGAGTGAGGGATTTAAGGCTTCTGCTGTCCGTTTGTCTGAGACTGAGAAAACACAAAGGAGAGGAGGCAGGTTGATAAATGCTGCTTCCATCCAAATGTATTATTCAACAAGGATCTGTCTCAGAATTTGCTTTCACAATCTTAAAATTGTCACATTTATTTACACCATGAATCAAAATCCTTAAAAGGAGGAAATACACTTGTGCTGTTAACAAGTTCCAGTTGCGTTTTTGATGATCCAAGTCGCTGGCTCTCAGTGCTAAGTTACTCCCATTACAGAGCACTATCAGAATGTGTGTATTCCTCTAATGAACTACTGCAGGTTTGTGAAGTTTTAGTGTATTGTTTTTGTATCATGTTTTTGTATATATATGTTGAATTGTCATGCGGGGACATGGCTGATGTACTGCTAACCAGAAGGAGGGTTTGAATAGTACTTCAGATAGATTGCAAGATTATTCAAACATGCATCTTTGATAAGGGAACAATTTCAGAACATGGTAGGAATTGTTGAAAAGATTTATGTTGTCGTTTTCATAATTTTTGGAATATAAATGATATTTGAATCAAATTTCATAGCGTCTGAAAAGTCTACCATTGATCCCTCTGTTGATCCTCCTAAAACCATTATTATCAAACGCCCGATGCTGTTAAAAATATCCTCATGTCCCGTCATGGTGGTGATTATTTTTGGTGATGTCAGTGATTGTGCAGAACCTCGAGCTCGTCACTCGTCCTGCTGCTCATCAGAGAAGCTTTTGTCTGGTCCAAACTGCACTTACATAACAGACACACACACACCCGCTTCATCAGACGTCCTCGCTATTCTTCACTGTCCTTTATCCTGTCGTTTCCGCCGCACACTCCAGATGAACTACTCTATAAATACACTGCAGGATATAGACAAACAAAAACAAGGCAATAATTATCTTTTTGATCTTTTTATGAAGCTTTGAATTGCCCGATGTCTCAACAACAATCGCCTGACAAGTCTACACACACTTTTGAATGAGATGAACAGATGAACAATCTGATGAACACTGAAACTAAGCCTAAACTGTCACTCACATTAAGCCTGGACTAAAACCGCCCTTATTCAGATAAAAACCAAGACAAAACGATTTCCAGCAGGCATTGTAAAATGAAGCTTTCATCTGTTTTAAAAGCATATTAGGTCTTTGGCAGCCTTTCTAAAGTTAGTGACGATCCAATCTACTCAATTATGTTTCCATACTATCTTCATCCATCTCCCTCAGCTACAAATACATTCACACTTCATGATTTCAAACCTGGTGTGAACGTGGACTCGTGTGTAAATGTGGATTAGTGTAAACGCAAACTCGTGGGCTCATTTAAAGAACTAGTGTGAAGACGGGCTTGTGTGAAGAACTCGTGTGAAGACAGGCTTGTGTGAAGAACTCGTGTGAAGAACTCGTGTGAAGAACTCGTGTGAAGAACTCGTGTGAAGACAGGCTTGTGTGAAGAACTCGTGTGAAGACAGGCTTGTGTGAAGAACTCGTGTGAAGACAGGCTTGTGTGAAGAACTCGTGTGAAGACAGGCTTGTGTGAAGAACTCGTGTGAAGAACTCGTGTGAAGAACTCGTGTGAAGAACTCGTGTGAAGAACTCGTGTGAAGAACTCGTGTGAAGAACTCGTGTGAAGAACTCGTGTGAAGAACTCGTGTGAAGAACTCGTGTGAAGAACTCGTGTGAAGAACTCGTGTGAAGAACTCGTGTGAAGAACTCGTGTGAAGACAGGCTCATTGAAGGAACTCGTGTAAAGAACTCGTGTGAAGACAAGCTCGCGTAAAGGGCTCGTGTAAAGAACTTGTGTAAAGAACTCGTGTGAAGACGGGCTCATTTAAAGCTCATTTATGGGAGGGCGGGAGGGCGGGAGGGCGGTAGGGCGGGCTCTGTGTATCCGTTGTTCCTGATAGAGAAGCTGTGGAATTGCTGTCCTCATGTGTTTGATATGATGTGTTTCTATTTTTAGCTCCTTTCCCACACTGCCAGCTCTGCTCTGTGAGAGTGAGTGCTGCAGAGGCTAAAAGCAGAGCGCTGCTCTACACACATATATATGCAGACAATACACAGCAATTTCTATAAATTAAGCCTTTTTTTTTTTTTTTTCAGCCTACATATAACAAATACAATCACACATTTTCCAAAAATCTGCTAATCCTGTTGTTTAGATCTTCCCACTTGAATCCATATCGTGCTCCTTTTAAAAGGGGCAGAAACTCTGTCATTTGCTGTAGGCCTAGATAATATTTATTTGACATAACTAATATTTAATTGTTGGTAATGATAACGTTGATAAATCGCTCCTGTACTCTAACCTCTCCTTCTGCGTCTGTTCTGCTGCAGGTATCGCTCAAGTGCAGAGCCACAGAAGTGTCCCAGGCCGTGTTCCAGAGCTACGAGGCCATTCTGAAGAACTGAAGACCACCCCCTCACACCAGAGCCCCCCACCCTACAGGACACCATCTACCCCCAGCTCCGTCTGTCCCATGACTCATTCCCCAGCTCCATCGGCGTTCTGAAGGGACCGCAGGGATAGGGCACTTGATTAGATTTCATTTCAGATTGGGTGCATTCTTGTTGTCCCTGCATGAGGTTTCTTTAATCAGTACCTACTTTCTCCACAAATTGGAGTCTAAAATTAGCAGCTAGAATCGGCACCATCGGCTACTTACATATCCCTCCGCCCGTGATGAGGCAGGGCTGGTAAAGAGACTAATGTAATTGTTTTAAAAATGATTTAAAGTCTGTATCGGCTCGGAGCAGAATGTGTGCAGTGTGCATGGTCAATGTTGTGGTGTTTATTTCAGTTTTATTATAGAGAAATTATTGCCCACTATGTTATTTAGTCATTCCATTTTTGATTTGTGTGTTTGTGTTTCCGTGTGTAATTTTAAAGCGACACCATGCAGCTTTTCTGGTAGAGGGCCTGCCATCTGCATCTCCATGGAGGTGTTGTTTGCCTGGAATATTCCATAGTATGGCATTAAGAATATGCGGGGGCACACAGTCGTTTTTTGATGGGGTTGGAGGCTTAAGAGCGCGTCTAATAGCCTGGAAAATACGGTAACCTTGGCCTGGAGACGTCAGCGCTTGTGTCCAGATTAGGGTTGTTAAAAGTATCGAAAATCAGATACTAATCGATACTAAAACCAGCAGAAACTAGATACTTATTTGCGCAGGTATTTCCGGAATAATTCATGTATCATTCGTTCATTCGTTTTTCAATATAAAACCAAAAATCACAAAACGAAAAAACAACAGTTTTCTTCATTGTTCGTCTCCAAAACCAAAATGAAAAAACGGATAATGAATCAGTTTTTGATTTTGTGTTTAAGTGAAGAATGGAAAAATGGATAACGGACGTTTCCCGTTTATGTGACTTTCGTGACTGCAATGCCAGACTTTTGCACCGCATACAGACTGAACCAGGTCCGGGACCAGGTAGACCACTAGACTGAGACCAGAGTGGGACTGAGACAGAGACTGAGATCAGGCTGGGACCAGTCTGGGACCAGACCGGAGGCTCAGAGACCACAGCAGGGCCCGAACTCGATGCTAAGGCTCGGAGTCAAAGCTCGGAGTCCGCTCTGGTTCCGGTTCTGGATCAGTCCTGGTTCAGTCCGTATGCGGTGCAAAAGTCCGGCATCGCAGTCACGGAAGTCACGTAAACGGGAAACGGCCGTTATCCGTTTTTTCCATTCTTCATTTAAACACAAAATTGAGAACTGAAAAAAAAAGAATCGTTATCCTTTTTTTCATTTTGGTTTTGGAGACAAATAATGAAGAAAACTGTTGTTTTTTCATTTTCTGATTTTTGGTTTTATATTGAAAAACGAATTAACGAATGACACACGGATTCTGAATGTGTTTAGAACAATCTTGAGCTGTATCAGAGCAAGTAGAAGAGCACATAGACTAGTATACACACACTGAGGATTACACACATAGAAGAGCACATGGGAACAGAAAAGAAAAGACTACCATTTAATGCTGAAAATTTGTATCAAAATGTAGTCAAGATAAATACGTTTAATGCCATACTCAAATTACAGGTAAAGTGGTCTCGTCTCTATCCTGACAAGCAGGTAGCAGGCCCTCCACCAAAGAAAGTTACATAGTGTGCCTTTAAGCAGAACAGTCACTGCCCCAGCACAGCAGCTTGTAAGAATATACACGAGGCTGAATTCGAGGTGGGAAATCTATTGAGAAATGTATATAATGTCGCACCCCTAGTTTGAATACATCATGAAAAGCTTTATTTGTTCAAAAGGTTGTGTTCGCTTCATATCAGGGACAGTAAAATTCAAATGGAGGGCATTCATACCTTTAGGCTCAGTCTGTTTTGTAATGACTAGACATATCCTGTTCACTATGGCGTAAATAAGTGCATTTATCGACCCTTTTAACAGCAATTGATCAGCGTAAACATCTGTAGAGTTTCTATTTGAACATTACCTAATGAAATAGTTATTGTGGGAGGTACACAGACCTCAGAGGCATGCGTTTTTGATTCTTTCTGTCAAACAAAACGCTCACTAAATGTCAAAACGTAATAATTTATGGACTGTAAAGTGGCGTTTGTGATTACATAAGATTGCCAGGGTGATGGAGAATGCAAAATCCTCTAGTGATGGGCATTTGGAAAAGTGAAATGTCCTTCTATACAATTCTAATTAAACTTGGACAACTGTATGTGATATTTGAGTTTGGATCTAATTTTCATTTTTGTCGTTTCCATGTAGTGTTTTATCCAGCAGTCTCTGATTGGATGAGAGATTCTGTCTGGCAGTTTCTTTCCTGGTGATTCCCACCTAACAAATGCCTTTTAACTGAAGAGGCAAGAATCAAAACTAGTGATGGGCGATACCGTTGATTTTTGGGTCGATCCAATACCAAGTAATACTATGGGAAGTATCGCGATATTGATTCAATGAACTGATACCAGTAAGATTTGTAAATACATTGAAACTCTTCCATTATTTAGAATATAACCTTAATGATATTTAAAAAGTTATGTTTTTTTTTTGCATGCGAATCAATACTTTTATACTCAATATTAGTATCTGTCATTTTGGTATCGATCCGCCCATCACTAGTCTAAACCTGAGATAAAAGAAATGAATATTGGTACTTTGCAGTGATGATGTCACATCGAGGGTGCTCTACGTGGATCTCGACTGGTGGAAAGTTTACGACTTACCATGGAGACGCAATGCACACACTGTCAAAAAAAAAGTTTTAAGATAGTGTGAAAAGTCAAGAAAAAAAAACCATGAAACGGATTTAAACAGCACCTTTTCAGGAGCTTGTGATCAGTACAGGCGTTCATGGTCCTGTATAGGAGTTTGATTTTCAACAAAAGGATAAGAGTAACAAACTGCAAAACATTACTAATATTATGTGAAAGGGACTAGTTTAACAGCACAAATCATCTCACCTGTTGTAGTTCCAGCAGACTGCAGCCTGAAGTGACCCAAATCAGATTTTTTGGCCCCTATGTGACCTGTATCTCATCTTTTAATGACAGTCTGAACGACAGATCAGATTTTTTCAAATGTGACCCAGGACACTTGGATATGTGCTCCTAAAACCGATACATATCTGATCTTTTGACATGTGACTTCAGTCTGAACGGCCAAAGTGCATTCATCCACCTACACGTTATCAACAAGCCACAAACGTCACTATTCTGCGCGGAAGTAGCTGAAAATTGTTAATGAACTCTGTGTCACTGAAGTGAAGCACATCACCACTCACCACTCTTGTCTACGTCTCCACATCCACACGTTCCTTTCAACAGACACTGTCCCACAAAACACCACGACCAAAAACCTCGTCCTTCTCCTTCTCAATCTTCTTTTTAAAACAAGTAAGTTGTTCATGTTCTGGCTCCGGTACAAGAGGAACTTTAAAATCTCCAGGTGCTCGATGCTGTGTCCATGTTTGGACAACTTCTGTAAACACAGAGCACGCTCACTGTGGTTGACGTCGTCGTGTCTCCAGTGTCACATGTGGGACACTTTTGGTCTGTTTAATGTTCACACTGGAGTCACATACAAGTCACATTTAATTGGAAATGTGAACGACCTCGCAAAAACATCGGATTTCACAAAAAAATCTTAATTGAGCGTTAAGCCCTGCAGTCTGAACGGAGCCTAAATCAGTTCTCTCTGGTCAGATTGTGTTAAAATAAAGCTCAGATTAAAGTCTACCAAGCCTCAGACAGAACATGCCTCCAGCTAGCGTCACATCACCGGAGAATGTTGATGACATCAGCTGCAAAGTATCAATGAATGTTCGTGAATCTTTTCTGTCATTTTTAAAACCCTGAGATGAAACATTTGAGATATAATCCGTTTGAATTGCATTACACTTTTCAGTTGTCTGGATTCAAGTGGAACTAAACACTAAATCCATTTGTTTTCGCTTCTAATCTGTGTATATGGTGTTAAATAGAATTGTCTGCTGGTCCTAGACATTTTTTTGGGCAACTTTAGTGCAAACTAGTTACATTTAGGGGCAGCGGTGTTTTGTCCCATTTTAAATGACAACTGAAAATACATGAAAATCCAGCACACCAGTGAAAAAAGGATCATACATGTGTTTGTCAGAAGCCTGTCCTCTGGTGTCCCCTCCACAGCCCCACACAGAGCTGCCTTATCAGACTCCTGAAGCCCAGGTCCCATGCACTCTTACTGGGGACAATGTTCTGCGCAGTGGCTGTCTCTGCTCCTCATTATCTCATGTTTAATCTGACGTTTTGAATGGAGTGATTCTTTACTTTGACCTGTGTGTACATTTGCAAAGGACTATTAAAAGTTCTATAATGAAATCTCTATATGAATGTGTCCTATTTTTCATTCTGGCGTATAACATTGTCTTTGTGCTTTCTTTTCATTTGACACATCTAGTCTTCCTTTTCACAGTGAATGGGGCGTATTGATTCTAGAACAGCAGCCAATATTAAATTACATAGAAGACCATTTGAAATATGATTAGAAAATGGATGGCACATACAGCTCATTTTCAGTTTGGCTTGGAGCTCTGAGCAGCACAAATAAACTCAGAGGAAAGAAGGAGGAATCATTAGATTATGAATGAATGAACTTCACACATCAGTTTGAAACGTCGATGTCTTTATAAAGTAAAACTGCGGTTTTCTCTATTGAATAGAATTAGATTCAAAATGTGCATAAAAATGGTAGAAAAGGCTTTAGACTAAATGTTTAACTAGAGGAATGATGAGACTAATACAAGACAGGCCAAGAAGAGAACCATAAGTGACATCCATCCTTCCAGAATGTGTCCCAGATGAAGCCTAGACTGTGTGTCTGTCACACTGAGCACACATCACCAGAGAGTCCTGGGTTCATGACAAACTGGTTTTAATCCTAAAATCTGACAACTCAAAGAAATAAGACTGTTTGTAAAACACAACAGAAGCTGTACAGTCCCACTCAACATGAAGCACACATTTAAAGGCATCAGTACAATTGTGTTTTAAAATATCAGAGGTGAATAGATGTGTGATTACACAATGACACTGAGCAGGTAACCAGATCAAGAGGATAAAAGAGTATAAAGTTATTACTTTGTGTGCTCCTCTGTATGGCATTAACAGTATAACAGCACCATGGAGACAACCAGGTGAAGAAGGAACCAGTTGACAGCTCAGATCTGTGGATTTGAGATATTTTTGAGCCATAAAATCTCTTGTAGTTGAATTGGTGTAATGTAATGCAATATAGTGGAACATTGAAGCCAAATCAAAACATCACCATGGTGATGGATTGTTGTATCATTAAACTTATGATTAGTTAATCAAATCAAAGTTATGATTTCAGATGTGAAGAGAGGTTCTGACATGGGCCACAGACAGAGGAGGTGCTGCTGGTCTCTGCTCAGGGCCCGGGCACAGTGTGTGTACTGAGCTGTGCACCAAAGGACTGCAGTATTCTTGTCAGGAAAATAAATCTTTGATTTGAACATCATCCAGAGGACCAGAAGTGGCAGAGTCATTAAAAATGTACTCACGTATAAGCACAGTTCCTTTAAATAGTATAACAAAGAGTAAAAGACCTGAGAGTAAAAGTACCTGGACATAACATCTGATTGTAAATGGAAGTTCATTAAATGTACAGAATAATATAGTAGGTAAAACAGAGTAACAGACAACACATGTTCAAATGTAAAAGTTTTAGTCTCTTCACTTGTGTGTTGGACTTCGCTCGTTTGTTGGACTTCACTGGTAAATGCGTGTTTCTTCACTCATGACAAACATGGCCGTGGAGTGGTGTTCTTTGTAAAGCAGAGCTTCTCTCTCTGGACCTCAGCTCCCCAGGGCCTCATTAAAAATCCTCCAACAACCTGCTCTGACAGGACTCGTCCAGTTGATACTTTGCAGTCATCATGCTGGGGAGGTGCTGCATGTATTTCTATGGTGGAGTGATCATTAGTTACCATGGTGACACACATTAGGAATAACTACCAAAAAGTTTTAGATTATTTGAAAATTTATCTGAAAACTCAAGTGTATGGTCCTGTTCAGGAGTTTGAGTTTCAACAAAAAGGTGAGAGATGAACTGAAAAACTGTTGTCTAATGCTCTCTGTGTGACTGTAGTTGTGTGTGTGGAAGACACAAATCAGATTGTGTTTAAACAAAACTCAGATTAAACTCTAACTTGAGTAACAGACATTGAGACAGAGCAGTGCCTCCAGTTAGCAGCACACCCCGAGGGGCGAGCCGTGTTCACATACTGTTACTGATGGCATGATTCGAGGTGGAGGACAGAGGTCTGTAAAACACTGTGGAACTTTCACTGTCTTCTGATCCACAAATGTTTCTCCTTCTCCTTGTTGTCTGAAAGTCCTTTCACCTGAATCACGTGTTTGGATTGAAAACGGGTGTGGAGGACTGAAGGGGAGAGTGAGAGGGAGGGGGCACCTCTAATCAGAAACTCCTGATGAGTCTTTTGTGATGTCACCAAGTACTTGTGTGGAAAATTGCCCCCAAAAATTATTAAAACACTGTGTAGAGTTTAGTAGCAAAAAAACACTTGATTTCATGTTTAGTTCCACTTTAAACAGCAAATCCCACCTGTGACCTTTGACCTGTCTCCAGCTCAGTTTAAACTAGAGGATTGTACCACGGGCTGATGTCACGTGATCTCACTGCTCCTCCAGCTGAGGGGAGGGCATCTGGTACAGATACAGCCTCCCCTTTGAGGTCCCCAGCTGGAGGTCCTCTTTGAGGGACGAGCTGGAGGAAGTGTTTGGGGAGAGGGAAATCTGGGAATCGTGCTCAGACTCTCTGTGACCCGGCCGTGGACAAATGGAAATGAACTGAGTAAAAGTACTGTGGTGTACTCTACAGAACCAAACAGAGGCTCTGCTCTGAACACGCTCTTCTCACATTTCTCTAAATAAACTCAACAAATCATGAACTTAATAAAAAAAAATTTAAAAATCTATTGTGGTCATTGTTTTTTTGTTTTGTTTTTTTCATTCTGCGCCGAAATGTCTTTCCAAGTTCCAACCTTTGAATTCTGAAAATGGTCTGTAAGTGTCCTGCTCAAGGAGGAATAGAACTGGCAACCTTCAAGTAAATGGGCACTTTCTTCACTGAGCACTGCCTCCCACACGTGAAATCTTATAGAAAGACGCTTTTTGTTTCTTATTTTTAGCCTGATAATGAGGGTTTACGGCGCTGAAGCCTGTCGCACGCCGCGCTCTGATTGGCTGAGCCGGAGACCCCACTCGCCGCGCTCTCATTGGCTGCGCAGGGGTTGAAAGCGGAGCGGGGGGTGCGCGGCTCCACTTGGCTCCCTCTCGCCTCCGGATGCCTTCACTGCCGTGGCGCACGCACTGACGGTCTGCCTCTGGGTGCTGCGCTCGCCCGGCTCCGCTCTGCGTGGCTCTCCTCCCCGTGAGCGCTCCGGCACGAGACAGACGCGCGGGACGTGGAGGGTCGGCGACACCGAAGCGTGCGCACCGTGTGATGGAAGCGCGCGCTCTGGCTGCTGCAGTGGCGGGAAGCGAGTGAGTGAGAGACGTGCGTAAACCCGTCACCGACAGAGCGACCGGAGGCGCGCGGTTCTCCCGGCTCCGTCTTCTGCCCCGGTTCGCTCGGAGAGAGATGTCCGCGGTGTGGGCACGAGCAGCGCGGGCTTTGACGCTTCCTCCCGGAGCTGCTTCTCTCCGGTCGCCCCCCGTACACCGACTGTCCGTTTACCGCGGGATTGCAGAGGCAGCGGCGGCTCTTCCGTGCGCCTGCTGTTGACATGCCTTTTCCCGCCGTGTGGCCCCCGGCTCTTCCGCTCTTCCACAGCCCGGGCTCTGGTGCGTCCCTGCGGGGGGACTGATTCTCGCCGTGGCCCGCTGTCACGGCGCGTGCAGGAGAAGTAAGTGTGATTTTGGATCAGAACTGGACCACATTTCCATTGCGCTGTCCGCGCAGCCAATCAGAGGCGAGCTTGAGCCCAGGTTGTACTAGGCTCGTTTCACGTGAGAGCGCAGCGGAGGATACACATCACACGTTATTATCCTCGAGGCAACCGTCAAGTGCACTGTGTCACTTTTCATGTGGCGGGTTCGCTACCTGCTGCACGTGTTATGTCTTCGCCTGGAAAGTTCCTCAGTATGGCATTTAACTTCTGTCTAATCAAATCTGTCTTCTTTTATTCACTTTCATGTGCTTTTTTGTCATCATTATTATATTCATCTCAGAAAAGTGACATAGTGCAACTTTAAAGCTCCAAACACTCAGCAGTTATTGTTCCTAAAAGCCACAGTATGCAACTTTTTGAAAAAAAAATAAATCAAAATGAAATCAAAAACATGTTTTCTGGCCCTGATCTGGACCTGGTTTAGTCCTGGTTTAGACCTGGTTTAGTCCTGGTTTAGTCCTGGTTTAGTCCTGGTTTAGTCCTGGTTTAGTCCTGGTTTAGTCCTGGTTTAGACTTGATAATGATGTTTTATGTACTTAGTGTAAAAAGTTGAAAATCTCAGTTTAAAATGCGTCATAAGCCTGTGTGTAACGGTCTGTGTGTGACGGTCTGTGTGTGATAGTCTGTGTGTGATGGTCTGTGTGTGATGGTCTGTGTGTGACGGTCTGTGTGTGACGGTCTGTGTGTGACGGTCTGTGTGTGATAGTCTGTGTGTGATGGTCTGTGTGTGATGGTCTGTGTGTGATGGTCTCTGTGTGATGGTCTGTGTGTGATAGTCTGTGTGTGATGGTCTGTGTGTGATGGTCTGTGTGTGACGGTCTGTGTGTAACGGTCTGTGTGTAACGGTCTGTGTGTAACGGTCTGTGTGTGACGGTCTCTGTGTGACGGTCTGTGTGTGATAGTCTGTGTGTGATGGTCTGTGTGTGATGGTCTGTGTGTGATGGTCTGTGTGTGATGATGTCTGTGTGTGTGTGATGGTCTGTGTGTGATGGTCTGTGTGTGATGGTCTCTGTGTGATGGTCTCTGTGATGTCTGTGTGTGATAGTCTGTGTGTGTGATGGTCTGTGTGTGATGGTCTGTGTGTGACGGTCTGTGTGTGACAGTCTGTGTGTGACTGTGTGATGGTCTGTGTGTGATGGTCTGTGTGTGATGGTCTCTGTGTGATGGTCTGTGTGTGATGGTCTCTGTGTGATGGTCTGTGTGTGATAGTCTGTGTGTGATGGTCTGTGTGTGATGGTCTGTGTGTGATGGTCTGTGTGTGATGGTCTCTGTGTGATGGTCTGTGTGTGATAGTCTGTGTGTGATGGTCTGTGTGTGATGGTCTCTGTGTGATGGTCTGTGTGTGATAGTCTGTGTGTGACGGTCTGTGTGTGATGGTCTGTGTGTGACGGTCTGTGTGTGATGGTCTCTGTGTGATGGTCTGTGTGTGATGGTCTGTGTGTGACGGTCTGTGTGTGACGGTCTGTGTGTGACGGTCTGTGTGTGATGGTCTCTGTGTGATGGTCTGTGTGTGATGGTCTCTGTGTGATGGTCTGTGTGTGATAGTCTGTGTGTGATGGTCTGTGTGTGATGGTCTATGTGTGATGGTCTCTGTGTCCCCTGAGGTCTCACATTCTTGTGATGTTTCTGTTTTTTCTAACTGCTCCTGTCCTCTGCTTCTGTCTCCGCTCCTGTCCTCTGCTCCTGTCTCCGCTCCTGTCTCTGACCCTGTCCCTGCTGCCGTTGGTCAGGTTCGTCCCCGTCCCTCGGTGTGTGCTTGTGGGCCAGTGGGCGGTGGCTCTGTCCATGGTGCTGACGCTGCTCCTCTGGGATGGTGGAGACTCTGAGCATCGCGGTGATCGGGGCTCCGGGCGTGGGCAAAACGTCCATCATCCGACAGTTCATCTACCACGACTTCTGCGACGCCTACACGCCCACGCGCAGCCGCTACGTGTACCGGCCCGCCGTCATCCTCAACGGGAGCATGTACGAGCTCAAGGTGTTGGACGTGCCCCCCATCACCGCCTTCCCCGCCAGCTCCAGCCAGGTGAGGACGGGGGCTCACAGCCTTCACAGTATGGTTTGGGTCAAATTTGACTCGGACCAAGAATTCCCTCATAGTAAGTGTCGAAACCAAATTTTGAACTACAGATCTATTTAAAATGACTAAATAGACTGTCCCACATTAATAAATATGTGTAATATATAAATATAATGTTTCTGAGAGCAGGAAGAGCATATTTTTGTAAGTTTTACAACACTCGTTTTTGGAGAAAAACATCTACTATCACAAGTATCATAGTCCTGTTTTACAAAACACCTAAAAACATAAAAGCCATTATGATTTTTATATATATTTTTGCATTTGAAAATGACATGAACATTCTGGAACTGTTTGAATTTATAATATATCCATGTTTATCCACTGCAGCCATTCTGCTTATTTTAAACTAGTCATTTAGGATTTAAAGCAGTGGTAGGAAACTTTGCATGTGTGGGACTTGCATCTGTGTTTCCCACATTTGCAGCAGGTTGTAGCTGTTTTTCAGTCCTTCTTTGCAGGGCTAAAGTTGCATCTCCTTCTCTTCTGTGCCCTTGTGTTGGTTTCTGGTGTGACTTCTTGATCAGGGTCAGGTTCAGATCACTGCACTGGCCTCACCAACGCTGCTGAAGCTGCTGTGTGGGGAAGCTGGTGTCACCTTTGCAGACAGGGAGACACAAGGGCCTTTCTAAGCTCCTCCAGAAAAGAACCTCCTCCAGTTCCTCCTGCTTGTCCTCCAGGTCAGGTTCAGCTCACTCCATAGACAAAGCGGACCAGCAGAAGGTTCTGCTCTTGCAGCTGTGCCTGTTACTTTGTCAAGGTTTTCCACTCCTCCTTTGTTGGCCTTGTAGTCAAGGATGATGATGAGGATGATGATGATGATGATGATATGGCCACATGTAATGTGCTCATAAGGATGACATTCTTGTTCTTCTTTTACATGTACCAGACAACTGTGGTGTCCTGAGTGAACTTACTCAAACTTAGAAGAAAAGATCTCTCTCTCCCACTTGAGTGACTTGTGTTTCTTCTGTGCTCCATAAATAGGATGATCACTCCTTTCACTGTTTTGAGATTTTCCTTTGCCGCTTCAAAAACCAACAGGTGTCTGTCTCTGTGAACCTGGGGCATGGGGGAATCTCAAAACAGTGACCTCATGATCTCTGTCACCACTGTGCCATAAAAAATACACACAAACATGGTCTGTGCAGTTTCACAGTTTCAAGTTTCCCTAAAACTTCCATTTTGCTTCATCTGACCCGCACTGATAGAGCAAAAATCCATCTTAATAGATACGGGTCAAAATTGACCCGAAACAGCCTCAGTGTCACAAAATTTGTAGCACCTATACAAAAGTATAACATTTTTAAATATTTTCATTTTTGTGTATTTTGGCAAAATTTAGGAAAAGTCATCAAATTTCAAGATAAAACAATGATGCCTAGGGTATTTTTTCTACTGTTGAATGTCAAAACGGGTCAAATTTGACCCGTACAGTATGTAAGGGTTAAAGAGTGGGCGTTATGCAAAATTGTCTTTTTGGAGCTTTCTGCCATGTTATAATGTTGTTCCCTCATCAAAAACACGCCTGAAGAGGTTTTAGAAGTCATCTGTGCATGTCTGAATAATTCACTTTCTCTCCCTGGACCTGTTTGAACCTCCTTATGGTTAGTCGTAAGATTCTGTACAAGGCTCCGCCCACAAGCCTACGTCACCCATGCTCCCACATGATAATTCTCTATAAATATACAAACACATGATACAAAACTGTCCACAGCGACTTGACAAACCTGAAGTGATGTGCAGGAGTTTCATTAGTGTTGGTTGATGTTTCTGTAGAAATCGGTGCTGTTTCTTAGTGCTCAGCTTTGTTTCTCTCCCTTTATTACGCATAAGCCACAATGTTTTTTGTTTGTTTGTTTTAACACAACATGCATCTCTCTAATTGGTTCATCTGCCTGTCAATCATGCCCATCTATAACCAGGGGAGAGGACATGTAAAGTCTTTGTAAAGTTTTTGTCAAAGCGTGTGGTTCTGGGCTCTGGTTGGACACATCAGAGACAGTCTGGATGTCTCACAAAAAGTTTATTACAAATCACAACGGCCAGGGAGACTTGACTGACATCACACGTGCTGCTGCCTGTTGAAGGACACTGGAGGACAGAGCGATACAGACAGTACAAGAGACATGTACTCTGCTGATACAGTGTACACTTTATTCATGTGGTTCAGCTTTCTGTTACAGGCCACAATTTCATGACTTTTTCTCTTTCAAAAGATAAATTTTGTGATTAATTGTAAATCACTATAATAAAGGCCCTAATTCATTCTTAAAGCCATGGATAAGAACATCCTCATATCGATCAATCTTGAACATTTTCTGAACATAAATCCAGACTTTTAATCAGTGACATTTAACACCAAAATAGTCCAGTGTTTTCCTGTTTGTTTCCACGTGAGTCTGTGACAGAGGACGACCTGTGGACTCTGCATCAGACACACGCTCATCATTCATGCTCCACATCATTCTGACATCTTTGAATAATTGTGCACATTTGGGCTGTCTCAAAGTCAAAACCCGCTCCTCACCGCTCATCATCATCATCATCATCTCAGCTCCATCGAACTCTCTCACTTCTCTTTGCTGCTGGACAATGTGATGTCAGCAGCTCTTTGTTTTCACACACACTTCAACTCAAAATTTTTATGTGTAATAATCAGGACTGATGAGCAGTAGTGACAGTTGGACCTTCCCCTGCACCTGCCACAGACCAAACGTGTCCCTCTTTGCACCTGTCACACCATGCACCTGCCTCAGTCAGATGTGCACCTGCCACAGTGGTTGTTTCTGTGCTGTCTCTCGGTCGGTGGTCTCAGCAGTTGCCATGGCGATGAGGAGACTGGCTGGTGGACTCCCTGACAGGAGGAATGCCGCTCACACTTGCCCTGCTTTGTCAGCGCTCAGGCCCAAGAGCAGAGTCCCTGGTGTAGATGGTTCTTGGGGCAGATGGTCCCTGGTGTAGATGGTCCCTGGTGTAGATGGCTCTTGGGGCAGATGGTCCTTGGTGTAGATGGTCCCTGGTGTAGATGGCTCTTGGGGCAGATGGTCCTTGGTGTAGATGGTCCCTGGTGTAGATGGCTCTTGGGGCAGATGGTTTCTGGTGGCCCTGGCTGTAGCGTTGCACCTGTGGGAGTAAAAATAGCTGCACTGGCCTTTCACTGAGCCACGGGTCATCTGGCAAGTCTCATTAGAACAGCACCATCTGAGGGACGGCCTTCAAAGAGCTGCACACCCTCCTCTCCTCTCATCTCCTCTCCTCCTCCTCTCTCTTTTCTCTTCCTCCCTTCCTGAGCTTCCCTCCTCTCCAGCTTCCTCTCTCCCTGCATCTTCTCCTCTTCCTTTCTCTCTTTCTCTCTCCTCTTTATTCCTCAGCCCCCTCTCCATTCTCTAATCCTCCTCTTCTCTTACTCTCACCTCACCGAGTATACCTCCTCCTCACTCTTCTCCCCTGCTCTCATCCCCCCATCCTCTTCTTCCCTCTCTCCTCCTCCTCTTCTGCTCAGGTGGACTTGTGTGTGTGTGTCAAAAATCCCCTCGCACGTCCACAATACTCAAATTCAATCCCATTTTGAAACGGAAAATTCTAGCGTACTGTCATATTATTCATAAAACTTTGTGACACAAGATATGTTTTATTTCATCAGATAAATTTTTTTTAAAAATAATAATAAAGTCAAGACCTTTTTGTAACTATCCAAATGGGTCCTTTAAATTTCTACTGTCAAAAGAATCGAAAATCAGATAGTAATCTAAAAAAAAAAAATAAAATAAAATAATAATAATAATAAATAATAATAATAATAATAATAATAATTATTATTATTATTATTTGAGCAGGTATCAGTACTAAAAAAGTCACAGACACATGGGAATAGAAAAGAAAGTTCCACCATTTAATGTGGAAAATCACTTTCTATTGTCTAAAGAAAGATGTTTTATTTATTTATTTATTTATTTTATTTTTTTGTCATACTGGCATCAGCCTCGGCATCAGATACAAATCCAGTACAGCAGTTTTTAATCATGCTTTTTTGTGAGGATTAGTATCTGGAATTGTTTTTTACCAAAGCCAGTGAACCTTTAGCCCCTGACGTGCCCACAGAGAGGCTCTCACCCAGAGCGTGTGCAGCAGCCAGACCCGTGTGCCGTTCATCAGTATGAACTGTAGGCCGAACCATCAATCGAAACTGAATGCGTCTCTGTGGAGTCTTAGTCTATGTCAGAGCTGCTAACCCTGTAGTTTAGATGTCTACAAACATGTTCTGAGATGTCCCTGTGTGTCAGATGCCCTCCCTGTGTGTCAGATGCCCTCTCTGTGTGTCAGATGCCCTCCCTGTGTGTCAGATGCCCTCTCTGTGTGTCAGATGCCCTCTCTGTGTGTCAGATGCCCTCTCTGTGTGTCAGATGCCCTCCCTGTGTGTCAGATGCCCTCTCTGTGTGTCAGATGCCCTCTCTGTGTGTCAGATGCCCTCCCTGTGTGTCAGATGCCCTCTCTGTGTGTCAGATGCCCTCCCTGTGTGTCCATGTGTTCTCATTATGTGTAAAAGATGCTCATCCAAATCACTTATTGTATTTTTTCTCATATTACTGCTAAACCTTACACAGCACGATGGATTCTCACAAACTCACTAGAATCCATCTTAGTGTGTGCCGTTGGTGTGAAAGGGCCTGACAGGGCACACATACACAGAGACACCAACACACACACAGACGCACACACACACACAGGCCCATGATTCTCCTGAGGCTCTTCTCGTCATGTCTCAGCTCTGACCCTCACATCAGGAGCAGTGTGTGTAAAATCTCTCAGTCGTTCAGGTAGAATCCAGGGCAAAGGAGAAATTCAGTTTGTTAACTGGACAAAAGTTTATTTTGGTCGAAAACGTTTCACAGCTGCTTCTTCAGACGCTTGTGGACACTGCCTTATACCTGCCTGCAGGGAGG